TTTCATTGACAACTGCACACTGCAGGTTAATGACAAGCCGAGTGACGATTCTTTGCGTGCTAAATGAGCATATGAACAAGGCTCATGAGAATGACAAACCCACCTTTTACTGACAGACCCTCTGATGAATGTGTTAAGATGTGCTGGTGCATGAGTGGAAAACGGGGGTTGATGAAGCATCACTCAAGCAGCCATTGTCCCCTGTCTTTCTCTTTCTCTCTCTCTCATACATCTCTAATTCACATCATTTTCATAATTAGGCAAATATTCGGCGTCTGACAGCTGCAGTAAAATGTCAGACGCTGAACCTTAGTGCAGAGACAAGGTGTACGAGATCTCCACAGCCATTTATATACTCTTTTTGAACGCTTCAGAAGCTAATGACGGTTAATAAGTTGACGGTTGAGAAAAAAAGACAGGAGTGAAGGCTACTGAAGACAGTGCAGCACTCAGGATGAACTAGGGCTGCGTCCAAAACCGCACACTACCACACTGAGCACTGAGTGTCAAAAATAGCATACCGCCGTTAGAAGTGCATTCATTAGTATTATATGTATAGCAGACTAGTATGTGGTTTTGGACGGAGCCTTATTTCAAAAATAACGGTCAGCAGTCGATCACTGAAGCCATGTTGTGCTATAACCAGTCATTTTGTGTAGCTTTATACCGAATAACATGACAGACAGTTGGACAGTGGTGTTTTAGCGAGGCGAACTAACCGTCCAGTAGGCTAGCTAACTCTGTGGCACACCTATACGAGAGATTAGCCCGGCGGCCATGGCCCACTCCCCGTAGCTCTCTCCCCCACCAGCCCCCTCACCTGCTCGCTGGCCGAGAGCTCCTTCTCCAGCTGCCGGTGTTTGTTGTGCCAGACGAGGTAATGGAGGCGGTAGCGACTCTTCTCCGGAGTTTTCTTGGCAGAAATCATGATCCTCGGCGCATAGTTTGCTGCTCTTCCGTTCGTTTTCGTCCCTTTTCTTTAAGCTACTTTGAGAGGCGACGGGCTATTTTATTGCCAGCGCTCCTGTTAAGGGAATTTTTTCCCCCTCCCGTAAGCAGCACAGCCTCCTCATAGTAAAGTCCAAATACGCGAAATGTCTAAAAACTGGACCTGGTTTGTCAGCTTAACTCAGAGCCAACGCCATCTGCGTGGTCTCTCGCTCTATCTTTCTCTCTCTCTCCCTCTGCACGCAGCCTGTCACTTTCCCTGCGAAAAATAGGGGAAAAATCACCGCCTATGAGCGAAGACTCTCTCTCTCCTTCCAATGATCATGCGATGGTCTCTCTCTCTCTCTCTCTCTCTCTCTCTCTCTCTCTCTCTCTCTCTCTCTCTCTCTCTCTCTCTCTCTCTCTCTCTCTCTCTCTCTCTCTCTCTCTCTCTCTCTCTCTCTCTGCGCCCTGCACCACTGTGCGTATTCAAATAGGGCAGATTGCCTATTGGGCGAAACCGTTCTTCATATCTGAGCATCATAACAGGCGCTAATCACTTTAAAGGGGAAATCCATCCATCTGACCATTTCTGCAGAATTAAGTCGTTGAGTTGTTAACAAAGTCATTCAGGGTGTTTTGATGTGAACTGTAGAGAAACTTACATACTTACAGATTTTTATTCAATGGTAATAACAGAAACCGAGGGGTTGCCATGTCTATTCAGAGGTGTAAATTAACCAATTATATTTATTCTCGTTACTTACTTGAGTACATTTTTACCTGCAACGGTAATGTTGGGAGTACAATTAAAACATAGTACTTTTACATTTATTTCTATACTTTTATCTTTATTTTTTATTTTAAATATACTTTATTAACTTGTGTTTGTTGCAGTAAAAATAAATTGTGAGCATATCAGCTCATAAACCAATTATGAGAAAGCCCTGTTAACTTTAAAAGATTCACCAATCAAAAAGCAGAGCAGCTTTTCCCAGCTTAACTCCACCCTGAGGGAGCAGCTGACTAACTACTTAATCCTAGCTAAACAGGTACTGTGTTGACTATTTTCTTTGTTTTAGAATAAAATGGCGGTTCTTTATTAAACGTTAAATTTGTTGCATGTGTTTTATTGCGAGGGCCTATCAGCTGCTTTAGTTAACAGGTGTCATCCTTTATGGTTTACCCTTGTAAAATATAGCTTGTTTTATTGCACTTTAAGAGGAAATACAGGTTCCTATAAACTCTGGACAAAAATTCTGTTGTGCTTTTGTTTTTTAAAACTTAACCCTTTTAACACCCCCCGCCCCCTTCAGAAGCTCTGTCCCCCAAATTCATGGAAATGCATTGCCAAGGCGAACAACACTGGGTTAGCAAACTTGTTTTTTACGTCTTCATTGACAAAACCCTTCACAAATGTTGTACAGACAAACATCATGACATTATGAGCGAACAGCAACACAGCAGGTAATGTAACTAACGTTAGCTGGGTTGTGGCTTAGCAAAATTGCTGCTGCAAAGCTAACCACTTGTGATCACAAACATTAGCAAACGGGACAAAACAATACTGACCTAATGGTTCTGTGAGACAGCAAAAATAAGTTAATGTCACCCACATGTCAAGCATAAAGCAGAAACAGAGCAACCTCCTCATCCCTTTTCATGCCTTTCAGCTCTCGATGAAGCTGAAGTCAGCTTCTTTTTCGCCAACTTCTTGTTCAAATTGTCCCGTTCAGGGCCGCCTGGAGCCACAATGGTGAGGAGGCATTTGCCCCACCACTTTTCAAAGTACTGGGGAGACACCTCACCACTTTTTGAATTCAGGACACACACATAAAAACCTTCACTTTCCCTAAACTGCATGAAGCACTGACCAGCATGAACAGGCAGAGTAAAAGGAGGAAGAGATAATTGCTGAATTTGATAAAAAGTGTATGGGATTAAAATCACTTACCGCCCCTTTAATGGCCCAAACAGTGATCTGATCAGATTGCGGGTGGAGAATGAAGCTCTTCTGTCGTGTAAATAGATAAAGAGATATTTAGCTTTAACTGTAAAATAAATTTAAAATGAATGTGTGATTATGAAGTAATTAGCATGATTACCAGAGGAATATACAACAGTAAAGAAAATCAGCACTGGACAAATTGCTGTTGTTGCTAATGATTTTAATGTTAGAAATGTACCATCAGTTAACTTACACAACTTAAAGGCTGTGAATGTCATGTTTCCTGTCTGTAGAGGTTGACATCTATTAACGTAAGCTGATAGATAGTAAGATTGTCGCTAAAAGTACATTACTAATTGAGTAACCATTTTTTAAATATAAACTTAATTAAACAGTAACAAACTCTGCAGAGACTTTCAGGGATTCTAAACTTCTTAACTGGAAACAGATAAACAAGGAAGTCTTATACAATCATCTAAACATGAAATGAATGTTATTTAATGTAAACCTTGTTTTTTACACAGTTCACAGAAAGAGGTGTAAATGTGCACTAGTGGAGCACACTGTGATCAGTCTCAGACTGTTTTTCTCACAAAATATGTTTTGCTTTAATTTTGTCTGTACAGATTATTTTCAATAATGTCGCTGAGTCAACTTAGAAATATTTTAGCTTGTGATTCTGGTTTTCCAAAAATAACTCCATTACTCAGGTTTCCAAGTAACTAGTAATGGCAAGTATTACTAAGGCTGATATCCTAATCATTTTAAAAGTCTTCTTGAGCACATAAAAAGGGAAATCCTTTGTGATTTCTACAGTAAAAGTAAAACCATTAACCTATTTATGTCCATGTCTGAAATTTCATTTAGTCCATGTGCTCTCTGAGCCTTTGTGAGCCATCATCAGATTATATTTAAACTGATATACCTATATGGCCAAAAAGTGAGTTTTATATCACTTTATTTATCATATTAAATCTGTCTGTTGGTCATAAGGGACTACTGAACTTTAACAATCCAAATGTAATTGTGAATAAAAGTATAAAACTGACATATGATTTCTGTTAAAAGTTTGTCCAAATTAAAACTACACATGTGGTGTTTTTTCATCTGATTTCAACTTTAGTTGTTAACAGTATAAACAAGTTGGTACAGAAAATGACTGTGAGTGAAATAATAAATCAACTTACAACCAAGTATTAATATTTTCATGTGAGGATCTATTAAATGTGTTGAAACTATGTGTCAAAATAATGGCTTAACTTCTACTGAGGCTTAATGAGGCTCTCATTTTCTTCTAGTGAAATAGAAGAAACCACAAATAGAGTAAAGATCAAGTAGCCACCAAGTATGTCAAGGCTCTATCTGTCGTCAGTCACATTTTTTTTACAGTTTACATCTGAGTGCAACCAAATAGTCAAAATTGTAATAATCATAATAATAATACTATGAAATACTGCATCCAGAACAACTTTATGCACTTAGTATCCAGGCTAACCTATTATGGCCTGTCCAAAGTGAGTAATACTTGGGAATTTTATGTTACCTTACCATTAAATATATGACCATTCACTGGAAATAAACTGTATGCCCAAAAGTGTTCTTATATGTCTTCTGAATAGTAATTTTAACCAGTTTAAGGTGCACTTCTCCATAGGAAAGCATCAGCAATAGAATGGGATGCTCTGGAGCAGCAGCACATGACCCTAAGGTCACCATGCCCAATGCCAAGTTTCAAATAAGGTACAAAGCCCCCCAGCATTGGGCTGTGGAGCAGTGGAGCTGCGTTCTCGGGAGCGATGGAGCTCCATCAGATATCTTTTGGATAAGTTGGAGTGGTCTTTGTGATCCAGAACTAATCCAGCATCAGTATCTGAAATCCACACAGCAATGTTCAAACACCTAGTGTAGTGTAGAGACTTCTCAGAAGAGTAAAGGCTGTTACTGCAGCAAAGTGGGATAAACTCCCTACTAATACCCTTGATTACAGAAGAAACGTTGCATTAGCAGATTTGACATATAGTGCAGCAGATGCATCCTGTAAGTTGTTAGTGGTGGTCAAAGTCATGCACAGCTATGTGTTCTGCCCTCCCTGCTACCCCACCATGTACTGACACTAGGGGCGAGAGAGTAGGACGTCAGAGGGAGACAGTATGCAGCCTGCCACAGCCTACAAATGTGTGGGGGATGCTGGATGTAAATAAAACGTTGTTTCCATGTTTTTTTCTTCTTACACGCTCGGCTCTGGATATGGGGCTTGGGTAAAATAGGCTAATGCGTACATATAGTATACAAGAGAAACGTTCAAAATTATACAGCCTAAGAAAGTGAACGAACTCTCATTCAAACGGTAAGACTGAGTTTTCGTGATATTTCACAAAACCTAAACTCCTTGCTCTGAAAGCAGCAAAAAAAAAACCGGAGCGAGAAGAAGGGTGAGGACCGGGAGCGCTGGAAAGCTCTTCGCCGGCTTCCGGACATTCAGGGGCGGCATCAAAGCTGCAGTCGTCGCTAAACTGGACCGCCGAACATCGTCGTTATTGGATTGGAATATCTGCGTTATCTCGTGAGGGCTGGTCGTGTATTTTTGTTTATCATGTCCAGGAAAGTCCAAAGAAGCGAGGTGTGTGCCGACTGCAGTGCGCCAGGTACGTTGAAATTTATGGATCAAGGCGTTGTTGAGATCTAACATTGTCTAAGTGACTGAAGCGAGCTGGCGCTGGGAGGAGAAACACGGCAGAGCCGCTGGGCCAAAACACTACAGAGAAACGGCCTGCAAACATCGGCCAGAAAGTTACCAGGGCTATAATATCAGTTTACAAAGCAAATGTTATACATTCGTCAACATTACATAATTTATACGGCGCTTAGACAAAGTATTTATTGAAAACTCTGCCTGTGGCTGACTCCGGTAGAGCTGAGTTAGCTAACCTACAGGCTAATGTAATGGCGAGTTTTAGCCCTGCTTGTTGTTAGCAACCAAGCTAGCCACGCAATATTAGCTACTATCCACCCTTTCCCCATGTACTACATGTGAGATAAATCAGGGAAATTGTGCTTTAACGGACTAGATATGTGTCCATATAGTATGTACATTTGTCCACATAAAAATGAGATGAGGGTTTATTTTCCAACTAACTGACCATCCAGCTGAACGCGATTTATGCTTGCTAGCTTAGCTAACACTAACGTTACCTCTGTTGCGTATCTGGCTCCATTACCTACGGCAAATGAGCCTGTTTAAATCGTTTATGCGCTTTAAAATTACTAGCAGGAAAAATGTGATGTATGATTGCATATTAGGCTGTATAAACCTGTTTGATATTAACACGCGTTGGTGACGTAGCGAGTGGTCAGTTAAGGTGGGCTAACCCTAGCTGTACAGCTAAGTCGCTAACCTAGCTAGCATTAGTCTTGCTGAAAAACTGCAGCCACTTAGCTCGACAGCTAGCTGTCAAGGCACTGCCTTTAACTCAGGTAGGTGACCAGATCCTGCCTTGATCGTTGAAAGGCCCAGTTGTGACTCTCAATTAAATGACTTATTAGTTATATTATTTTACTGGCGGAGAAGTATATCTCACTAGTGCCAAATAGTCCCTGCTGAAGTCTTATTAGTCAGTTAGCTACCCTTAGCACAAAACTTGTCTACAAGTTATCATAACTCAGCTGGCTAATTTTAACGTAAAACGTTAACATTGGCCTAGTAGGCGTAGCAAAAATATAACGTATTAAAAGCCATTTTCACCTTACACGATATGCAGGACGATATTTAATTTTTGAGATAAACACCATCACTGACACGTTAAAAAATACTATCAAAGTCTATGAACCCAGTGGTTTTCATTTAGCTACAGTTTCACATGAAGTACTGAATCAAATACAATGAAACAGACCTAATTATGTACTAATTAAGTACTGGTAATGTAATTTATCACAGTAACGATAAATATCTTCATATTTCCCACCCCAGTGGGCTACTTTACTTTGTTCTCATTTAAGTTAAATGGCATTGTGTACGAGTCTGAAAAAAATAAATTAAGAAATTCATATCCAATAGTGATCATACTGACTGTGTGATAGAGCTGTATGTTTATAATTTATTTTTCATTTATTATGCACAAAAGATCATCCATGAGTTCCCTGAGAATTCAATGCAAGTGGGTCACATTGCAACAAACTCCTTTGCTGTGGAAGTTAGCAGTTACTGAGAAAGTCCATCTCCTTTTTTGATTTCCATTTTCACCACCTAAAATCAGTGGTTTGTTAAGCTGTCACCACGTCTTTGATACAGCATCCTTTGATGATAGGCAGGTTAGCCAGCCGTGTTGTTAAGAGGATCGGTGGAGGTTTGGCCTTGGTCTTGCTTGTGGAGTTCCTGTCTGCCCCATGGGGAAGAAGGGGCAGTATGGCAGCTGCTGTCGTACCCACAGCTGCTCTCTTTCCAGGAATGTGTCTCTGTCTTTCTCTCCCTCTTCTCTCATCTCTCAGCATTTCCCTGCACCATCCCATCTACTGATTTATGGTCCCTGAGCTTCTACCTGCAGTCTTCTGCTAGCATGGTGCAGTTACCTGCGTTCATTGTCAGCCCTAGGCGGACGGCTGTGTCCACATCATCTTTCCCCGCCTACGTTGGGTCTGAGCTGGCGGTGTGTAGGCTCCAGATTGAGTCTGTTACTGCCCTGCTGTTACTGCCTGCAACACTGCAGCTCTCTGGCTGCTGCTGAGGAGTGTGTAATTGTCACGTTTGACATGCCAGAGGAATGCAGATAATAGTGTGGTGTAAAGTGGTGCTGAGTGTGTCAGCTGGTGAGAAGCGGATGATTGTTGTGCTGTGGTGTGGATGTGAAGGGATGACTTTAAAGCTGCATATTGTGTAGTGTCAATGGGTTTTTGAGATTCATATGGCTGTAAAAAACTGCATAACATTATTTGTGCTGTAGCTGTGTGAATGTGACCATTTACGTGAAATTATGTTAGGTGACAGGCACACAGGTGGAGAGTGGTTAAGGCTAAAGATGGTGGAAAGTCGTGGAGCTGGAGATCTCTGTGCGTTTGTGTATTGACTGTCACGCGTAGTCGTATCTCATGTAGTTCCGTCTCCCTGAAAGTTGGCTAATTCAGGCACTGATGGAAAGACTGTAATCAGTTAATATCCTTAGTTACTGTTTGTGTCAATATTTAGATTTTTTTAGTACAGTGCGGAAGGTTGTTCCTCCGAAAACAGTGCAGTACAGTAGGGGTGGGTACAGACAAAAATGAACCAGTAGTGTGACTTTTAAATGCTGTCAGAAATTATGAATGCAAAGTTGTTGTTTTTTTTAATTCAACATTTTCACAAACTGCATTAAATCCAGTTAAACAGGCTTAATGATGCTTTATGTAATGGTCCATACAATTGGTCACTGTTCTTAAAGTGCTGACAATATCCACAATATGCTCAGAAAAGCAGATTGTAAAGTAATTCATTTATTTCGATAATGATGTCACCCCTACACATTTTCCCATGTTTAATTAGAATTTTCACACACGTTGGTGTTTGTGGAGAACCTCAACCACATATCAGACTATTGAAAATGTAAAGAACCAGGGCTTTTTTCATGTGGTTGATTGATTTCTTGGAGAAAGCTTTTTGATTATGCTTATGTGAGGTGGCTCAGTTAATATGTATTTATGTTTTTGAATATTCTTAAAGAAACTTGACCACATCCTAAATTTATCATACATAATATCTCAATTTTCCCTGGTTTGCTTTCTTTTTATCCTGTAGTTTCCATTTCAGTAATTATGCAATTAATGCTAGTTTTATTTCCATTTATTTGTAGGCTACGTAGATTACCATGTGCCTTAGGGAGCTGATTCAAGAGCTGATCCACTGAACTACTGAAAACAAATAGCTGCCTATTGAAGCCCAGAACATTACAACCACTGTATTATTTAGTTCACTGGTGTCCTCATTGAGGATATTTGCCAGGAGTAAAGGGCTGCAGTATGTTGGTGTAATTTTAGAGAAGTCCTAGAGGCTTGTACTAGCCAGCAGTGCGGTTCTGTCACTCTGTGCTTGGTCATTTTACTGTTCACCTGAGCATAACCTTCACCCTGACTGCACCACTCTCCTGGCAGCTTTTGCCTCATTTGCCACCTCAGAGACCAGGATTTGTGGGGACATACTCACCTGGGGACAGGGTGTTGCCTCGGATAACCTGATAGAAATATAAACCGCTTTCACTACAGTTATGAGACCTATTTCAGAAAAGGATTTATAGCACAGTGACATGGCTTACTTGACAAAAACAGTACATTGTGTTTTTTTTGTTTTCTTCTTTTTTGGGTCATATTAGTCATTCAGTGAATTCTTTAATTATGTGACGCTCAGACTCTCCCTTGTGTTTGATCATTTTGTCTATTCGAAAAACGCCTGGTGTTCTGTGAGCTGATTTTGAGTGATGGAGTGTGTTCAGAAGGGATTCTCAGTGTGCTTTGCGCTGTGTTGGCAGATCCTGGCTGGAGCAGTATAAACCGGGGTGTGCTGATCTGTGATGAGTGCTGTTCTGTGCACCGGAGCCTGGGACGCCACATCTCCATCGTCAAGCATCTGCGCCACAGCGGCTGGCCTCCTTCCTTACTACAGGTACTTTGCATACAGAGCCACTGCCCCACGGAGCAAGGCCCTATTAACCCAGAAAGGATAAATATCAGATCATACTTTTGTTTGACTATGTTTTAGATGGTCCAGACTCTGGCCAGTAATGGTGCTAATTCAATTTGGGAGCACTCCCTACTGGACCCTGCACAGGTTCAAAGCGGTCGCAGGAAACCTAACCCACAAGATAAAGTGCAGTAAGTATACATGAGCAGAGATTAATGTCCCTTCACTGTGACACATGCTAAATGCTGAGATCAAAGGTCAGTGCAACTTTCAGAGGGTTTAGTCATATCTGACTCTTAATTCAGTTGAAAAGGCATAGTCCCCCTATCCTACGATGTTACTCATGGTCTCCCTCAGGGGTCAGTATTAGACAGTAACAAAGTTGTCACCAAAGCCTTTTAAAGTAACTTTTTAAATATCATCTTATAATTAAATCCCATATAAACACCGGCAGCTTTTTAACACCTTACTACCAAAAATATTTTACCACAAGAAGCACTGTAAGAACTGCACCAGAGTTTCTGATCCTGTCAGATATGTTTTGGCTCCCAGTCTTACTTACAGAACTGATGACGAGATTCTCCTTCTTACCTATTAATCTATACATGATCTTGCTCTTGTTTAAATTGCTGATAGTCTTCCAGACAGCGCTGCTTCCTGCTCACAGTGCTTGTCCACGCTTGTCTTCTGTTGTCTATTCCTCTACTGTAGGAAACCATGTCTATAGCCATATTGCCCCTCATACGTTGCTCTGAATCTATGACAGTAAAAATCCACCCTGCATATCCAGTCATATTTTTTAATTTGCATAGTGCTTTGTACAATTTTTCATACGTTATCATATTTTATGCATCTCTGAGTAACCAAATTTGAAGCGCTCTGTCACTGGAAAATTTCTGTAAGAAAACAAAGGAAATAGAGATTCATGCAACAGAATGAGTCATCCTTTATCTACTGGCATCAGATAATTGTCAATTAAGACAATGTGATTTAAGTACAGGCATATTCATGGAAAAAATCCTGATATGTCCTTCTGAAGTAGCTACTTTAATCTGAGTTCAGACTGCCATGTTAGTGCATGTTTTTTTGTTTTATTCTTAATTGACAGGATTATTGGCTAGTCATTGCCTGCTCTATTAATTTATTCAGTTCTGATGATGTTTGTCTTATTTTTGTCCTCTCCTTGCAGCCCCACCAAGTCTGAGTTCATTCGTGCCAAGTATCAGATGCTAGCCTTTGTCCACAAGCTGCCCTGCCGTGATGACGATGGAGTCACCACCAAGGACCTCAGCAAGGTGAGGCAGCTCCAAAAGGTCAGCTTAGCCTGAGGAGAGACAGAGCCTCTCTCCCTTCTGTGCTCTGCTCCCTACAGAGGAATTGAACAGGCGGGCCCTCTAGGAGGGCTCTTATCGCCCTTAATGATGCCCTGCTTGTGAATAATGGAGCCCGCCTCAGCACTGTTGAGCAACCTTAATGAGAAGATTCACAGAAGAGCTTGCTCTCTCTCTCTCTCTCTCTCTCTCTCTCTCTTTCTCTCTCTCTCTCTCTCTCTCTCAACAGCAACTGCATTCGAGTGTGCGGACAGGGAGTCTGGAGACATGTCTGCGGCTACTGTCTCTCGGAGCTCAGGCCAACTTCTTTCACCCTGTGAGTCTCCTGTCCTTCCAACACTGTTGTCGAGTGCATTTGTGTTAATAAGACCTTACTGATTGGAAGTGGCTAATGGCTAATGCTTGATCTGCTGTTTGTCAAATTATCCAGTTACTCCTTCTAATTAGTGAATTGAACTACTTTAAGATGCATCCATTGCTGATGTGGGCATTTAGTTGCACACACACAGCTTGTGTAATCTCCATAGAATTGCCAATTGAATGCAAGCCCTGTATGAGCCTATGGTCACCATGGCAGAATGTTGGTTAGAGGGGTGAAAAGGCCTCCAGCATTGGGATGAGGAGCAGTGGAACAGTAACCTTTGGAGTGATGGAGCTCCATCCCACATCTTTGAGTTGAGTCGGAGTGGAGTTTGTGATCTAGAACTAATCGTCCAACATCAGCATCTGACATCACGAATGCTCTTGTGGCTGAAAGCAATCAAATCCTCTTGGCAGTGCACCAACATCTAGTGTAAAATATTCCTAGAAATAGTGAAGATTGTTACTGCAGCAAAGGGCTATGGGCAAACTCTCTGTTAATAGAATTGATTTTGGAAGAAATGTTTTATTTTGCTTATATCTTCTCCTGTAGGTTATTACTTTGTAGGCCTAGCCTGGTGACATTTAACATCTGCGCACTATTGGTATCCAGAGTCTGAGAGTGCTTTCCCAGAATGTCATGGCTGCTGCGTGTGGAGGCATGACTCTCTGTCCTCTTTCTGTCTCTCTGACTGCAGGAGAAGGGCACCACCCCACTGCATGTGGCAGCTAAGGCTGGACAAGTCCTGCAGGCCGAACTGCTTGTGGTTTATGGAGCTGACCCTGGAGCACCAGACATCAATGGCCGCACACCCATGGACTATGCTAGGTATAGACACACACATACACTCCATCACTGGGTTCTGGGCAGACACTGTCAGTTCCTCGTTGTCTTGGCCAAGACCGGTGATCCTCTTTTTTGGTAGTATTTATAGATAAATGGAACAATAGAATGGAGAGCAGTTACAGATAAATGGAGAGATAGAGGGAGAAAACAGAGATAGATAGATACATATTTTATTTATCCAAAGTGGAATTTGCTTAGCACTGTAACAGACACTATTTTATGCCAACACTCAAGCAGCACTAATAATCTCAGAGCAGAACCACTTTAGGCATAAACTTGAATGGGTGATCATATTAGAGCTTTAATTGGGCCTGAAATTTTGGTCTGAGCCTGAGCCAGCCCAACAAATGGCATCATGTTTTGAGTCCTTACCTGTCGCCAGGAGAGGGCGCACTTCTGAGTTTTTCTACATGAATAGAGGGAGGGGACCACGAGTAAGATGAGTCTTTAACAACGGCTGGAACGCGGAGTTATACATTCCCTGTTTGAGTGGAGCGACCAGCGATCTGTTCTCCTGTGACCGAGTGTGAGTGAGGAGGTCACTGGTGTAACTGTACTGTCCTACAGCGAACTCACCTCTTTCCTAACATCCTAACCAGCTTTAGCAGCGTTAAATCACAATCACAATCCTCACAACTACAGCACTGTTACAGCGCTCAGTCATATTTAAGTATTAGTGCATTCCCAAGCAGCGAAAGTGAAAGAAAGAAGTGGGTTCATGTAAATTACAGCCCTGATTTAAACGAAAGTAAACTGAGGAAGCTGTGAGGCCTTGGAGAGCGGGAGAGCGCTAGCTTTCCAGGCTAGCTGTTTTTAGCAGCTGGCTAACTTGAAGCAGCGCTCCGTCACTCCACAACACGGAGAATTGATGATACTGTAGATCAAACACGACACAAAAGCACCGCTTTCAGTTTAAACGTACCTAAAAGGAGGACTCTGTTTGTCTGGTGTTGATATTTTGCGGTTCACCACTTAAACTACTACGATAGTATAGAGAAATCCGGTCGTCGCTAGCTGGTGTCTGAATACTGTGATGTCATTTGTAGCGGGGTAGCCGAGCACTCGGCACCAGCTAAAAATAATCTGTTTTCTTTCTTAAATTATGACTATTACAAAATAGCCATGCTTTTCCAGCTGGTAAAAACAGCTCACCAGACACTTTCTCCCACTCTCCCATGACAGAGTTGTGAAATGTTCCACTGTTTGGTGAGTGTTTGTCGTGTTCCAACCATAAAGGATAGTTTAAACAGCAGTTAACCACCCAGGAGCAAAAATCAGCCTTCAAACTTGAAAGAAATAACAATTTGACATTTATCGCGGTATGTATCGATATCGAACGATATGAATTTTGTTTATCGTGATAACATTTTTGGCCATATCGCCCAGCTCTACACCCACCCCTACATCATACCACCAGTTACTGTGTAGTGAAAATAATAGCTGTCATTAGATCATGGATAAATAAACTCTAAAACAATATGTTAAAAAAATAATCAGATGCCCCAAAATTAAATTCAGATCCCACTTTAACAGATTTATTCATCAAGCATTGCTTTTGAAGAGCAACCCAAACGTTTTTTAGGCTGGATAAACATAACATACTCTGCTGCTTTCACACTGATACAGGGAGATGTTCACTTCACCTCTTTAGTCCTCAAACTTTATATGTTTACATAGAACATGTTACATATACCGTTGAACATAAAACATAAAAAATAATTTTGGCCAAGCAAATTAAACTCCTGGTGGCTACACTAAACTGTTCTTGAATCAGTTTGCTGTGTTATTTCCTGTGCATCCAAGCATGGGCCTTGTGGACCTCAGTGCTAAATTCTGTCAACACAAATGCATGACTCCAGAGTGTCAGGTTAAAACTGGTTTAATATAATGACATAGAAAGGAAGAATAAAGCAAGCAGTAAACCTAAAGCAGGGGAGGTGGAGGGTAAAAGGCTGTGACAACCTCAATATGAAATGTAAACCCGACCCGAGCCCTACACGTATTTGGAAAATGACGTCCGAACATGGCGTGAGGAGTTGGGTCCTGTCTGGTTCAGACGTATATTTCAAGCTCTAGGTCATACGTGTATATGTTGGAGTGCAGACAGAGTGAGCCTCATGGTATTTATTCTTGTGCATTTGGTACTCAGGCAAGCAGGCCAGGTGGAGTTGGCTGAGCGCTTGGTGGAATGTCAGTATGAGCTCACAGACAGACTGGCCTTCTACTTGTGTGGCCGACGCCCAGGTGAGTTGACATCCCTTACTCTAGCTAGTACAGACTGAACCCGTACAAGGATGATCGCTAGTAATCTCTTATCTCATTTATTCTGCAGATCACAAGAACGGACATTATATCATCCCTCAGATGGCTGACAGGTGCGAATAAACTGTGTGCAGGAAGGGGCTTTTATTTATGTATACATGAATAGTATGTGTCTATGTATAGTTAGAGTGATTCAGTTACATTGTAGTGTTAAAAAAAAAAACTGCACAATGTGTTCTACTCGATGTTCTTCATAGCCTTCTCACAGCAGACACGAGACGCTGAGCTGCCTTGGCAGTGGGTGTATTAGAGTGTATTGGCCAGCAGGTTGCGCCGTGTCGTTAGTCAGTGTGCATTAGGGCTGAAGGTCCACAGGCTCCTGCACTAATGCAGACTGGCTGTTAGACTCTCTACTGCTGAGAGAAAGCCATCTGACAGTCAAACTTAACTGACCTGAACTGCAGGAGTGTTGATATGGGGTCTATCCATCTGTCTCTCTCTCTCTCTCTCTCTCTCTCTCTCTCTCTCTCTCTCTCTCTCTCTCTCTCCATCCTCTCTCACACACTCACACATATGCACACACACACACTCTCACTCTCTCACTCGCTCTCTCACTCACACTCTCCCTCTCTCTACCTGTCTGTCTGATCTCTGTATATATGTCTCTGTTTCTCTCTGGCTGTCTTGCTCACTCGTTCTCTGTTCTCTCCATCTTTGCTGCGCTTTATGGAGACAGAGCTCGCCCTAAGTGCCCGACGCAGAGGTATCTCACCTTCTTCTCATTCCCCTCTCCATAACCTCTTATCTTTCTTCTCTTTCTTCTTCATTTTCCTTTATCCTGGTGCCAGACTCTGGAAAAACGAGACAGGTAAACAGAGCACAGGTCTGAGTTGAGTGAAAGCTGAACAGACTGTGCCTGTTAGATGGCTAGTGATCACAGATGTGCAACTTTGCCTTAAAATAAATAGGCATTTCAGTTCTATGGATAGAGTTTAGGTGCGTGCTAAAATTCAGGCAGTAGACATTTGGGAAAACTTTAAGTAAATTCGACTGACCAGTGCTGCTCTACTACCCATCTCGTTTTCTTCCTGACCTGACACCTCACCTGCCTTGATGCCAAGCTCCATCCATCCACCCTCAACCTTTCTCTTACTCTCTCTCCCCTTCTCTCTCCTCATCTTTCTCTGTCTGTACGTTTCCGGCGTCCTTTTACTCCTGTGTCTGTGTCTTTGTCTCTGTGTAGCCTGGACCTGTCTGAACTGGCCAAGGCCGCCAAGAAGAAGCTACAAGCGGTGAGTGTTTAGGATGCAGGTGAGAGAGCTGGACTCTCCGCCACGACCATCCAGAGATTAACATTGGCCCATAGTGGCCCTTAAACGGTTTAATGTCTGTTGGAGGCGTTAGTGCACCCTAATGGTAGATTTGTCACTTAAATAGCACTGTTTAGTTAAATATTCAGTAAGTATACCCTTTTAGAATTAGTTCCTTGTCTCTGGTCTTTATTTACTGCTTCATTTGGCTTGCAGTGCTTTTGTTGGGCTTTTCCCAAATTCCTCCCATGTGTGGTCCTGATGTCTGTGCATACCACTCTCCTGTTTTCTGCCTACCTCTGTGCTTGTGGATGGCCTCGGCACTCACTGTGCACTTCACTCTGGCGTCCTCTGAATTTCAATGCCATGTATTGATATTTTGTTTGTGTGACACGCAGCTCAATAATCGCTTGTTCGAGGAGCTGGCCATGGATGTGTATGATGAGGTGGACCGCAGGGAGAACGATGCTGGTAAGATTATCCTTTTTTCTGTTTTCTGTCTGTCTCTCTACGTCTCACTCTCTCTCCCCGCCTTCTGCAGCTGTGGTATGAGTGTGAAGTGTGGGTTTGCTTCTAGTAGCTTAGTCCTTGGAGACTGATTGCTTAGTGTTGTATAAACACTGACTATAGAAGGGCACTGACCAAGCAGTCCGACTGCAGGGAAGGGAGGGACGCAGAAGGGGAGAGAGAGAACGAGAGAGAAAGGGAGAGTGAGTGAGCTGGTGAAGGAGTGCCTTAGGAAGTCTCTCCTCCTCCTCCTCCTCCTTCTTCTCGCCCTGTCTCTTTCTTTCTCTCCTTCCTCCTCTGCGAAGCAGGAGCTGTAACATGCTGAGTCTCTGCAGGTAAGCAGGGTTGGGTAGGAGGCAGAGGGTTGTGCACACAGAGGCAGGGGAGGGGCAGGCAGCCTGTTATTTTTTGTGTGTTCTCTATGGAAATAAGTGTTCTTTTAAATGTGGCTCATCTCTGTAGAACTCGACGTGTGTGGGTGTTTGAGTGGGTGATAAAATGACCTTGCTTTTCATACTGCACCACACTTTTTTTTTTCCTGATCTTTCTCTGTGATTCTCTCTCTCTCTCTCTCTCTCTCTCTCTCTCTCTCTCTCTCTCTCTCTCTCTCTCTCTCTCTCTCTGTCCCCCCTCTCTCTCTCTCACAGTGTGGCTAACAACTCAGAACCACAGCACGCTTGTTACAGAGAGGAGCGCAGTCCCTTTCCTGCCTGTTAACCCTGAATACTCAGCCACTCGCAACCAGGTAACAGACATGTATATCATCACTGGGGAAGGAAATCTCCTAACACCATCTGAAAACACAGTTGCCGTTTATGTTGAGTGAACATTTAGAATGAATGGACCAATACAAATGGTTTAAAATTACAAGAATTTTGTTAATGCATTAACATACATTAAGGTTTAGAATGTTTTTCCTTTTGTAACGTTATTATTTTCAAGACATGAGGTTCTATGACTGTCTATGACTTGTGAAAATGCTAGCTGCCCTTTACATTGCATTAATAAATAATATTTTACATTTTATAAAAAATGAATCAACAGAAATTTGGAAATGCAAAACCTTTCAGTTTTACATCAAGGCTGTATTAAGAACTTTTTTTCCCACTGTAAAGTTACTATTTCTCCTGTGACCCTTCCTTATAAAGTATTTGGAAATCCTTGTTTGTATTAGGACATTGACAATATGTAGCAACACTTGGCTCATTCCTTGCCAAGACTGTGCAAGTAAGCATCCAGCTGGCTGTGGGGGCTAGTAGGAGTGATATGGCAGTGTGCGGTCGAGGCTGCAGCCCAGACCCAGATGTGAGCGATGTAGCCTGACGCAGGCAGTGAGGAGGAACAGCCTGTATGCAGTAGGGATTTGAGGAAGAGCCCAGCAGGGAGAACAGAAGGGCAGAGCTGGCATGATGATGTCTGGGCTGCGGCGGGGTGGATGAAAGCACAAAGTCTAAAAATAGAGAGTCTGTGGCTTTGCGACGGCTGAGGACCGGTACTGGGCAATGCACAGCGGGAGAGGAGGAGAGGAAAAGACAGAAATGTTTTCCAGTTGTTTGAAGGCTATGGACATTCTTTGCCTCACTGTTTCCACTGAGAGCCTTCCATGACACTTTGTCTCTCGCTCCCATTCACCCGTTACACTGTGGCCTTAAACAGATTTTTATAGACTGCCGTGGGTCTGCTTGTTTCCCAAGAGGTGATTGACCAATCGAAGCATTTCCTGCTTGCTATGTAGTTATTATAACCGCCTGTGTGACAAAGGATGGGCTTCACACAAAACGCACATAAACTGACACAAGTATAGTAGACAGTGCCACGTCAACAGTTTACAATATTGTTTAAAGTCAGTTTGTGTTTTTAGATGTTTTTTCCAGCCTGTTGGGAAACAAACTTATCAGTGCATATCTCAGTGTTTTGGGCTGTGTTCAGTGTTCAGCTTGTGTTCAAGCTATCCAATTGGAACTGAGGCAGATAGCCTGCATCAGGTATAGTGAGCGCAGTAAAGACAGCAACAGACATAGCCTGTTTAGTTCCAGGGTATAAGGAGTTGGGAAACAGTAATATAAAACGATTTTTAGCTGTTTGTTTGTTTTTTTGTACATAAAACCACACAAATACCGTGTGAATAAAATCGTACAATTCGAAGGAACAAGTTCAAAAAAATTGAGGATATGGGCTCCAAAATGTTTGTCTCCTAGGGTCGACAGAAGTTGGCGCGCTTTAATGCACGGGAGTTCGCTACGCTCATTATTGACATCCTCAGTGACGCCAAGCGACGGCAGCAAGGCAAAGGCCTGACAAGTCCCACTGGTGAGAGAACCTACATTCTTCTTTCATAGCCTGAGATTACATACCTCTGCTTAAGGACAGAGTAGGGCTGAGAAAAAGTGTAGTTGCTGGCTATGTGTGTGCTAACATTGCTGAATGTTTCAGAGCCTCTGGATGTGGGTCAGCCAGACGATGATCAGCATGATTATGACAGCGTAGCTTCTGACGAGGACACGGACAGTGAGCTGACCACGCAGAACAACACCAACGCCCAGCGCAACAACCGCGCCAAGGTCAGCTCCTCTGCCTTTGTGGGGGCAGTTATCAAGCAGCTCTGCTGCAGCATACACATTTATTTTGAGTCTGGGTGAGCCTGTGTAGGACAAGTTCCACTTTACTGCTTTAAACTATGGTGGTTCAGCTACTATGGTGTATAGAACAGCAGGCAGTTGTGTCACAGCTCCCAGCCTGTCCCAGCATGCATTGCGGAGAAATGGGCGGCCCTGCCCCATACTTGTGGAATGACATCAGCACTTATTCGGAGCTCCAATGTGTGGGCCATTGTTCTGCAGCTGGAAAGAGGAAGCTGTGTCTGAGCACGCTCCATCCACATACAGGAAGTGCCCTGGCTGAGCCAAAGTTGCGCTGTGTGCTTTTGATCCTGTGCTGTGTACTCAAATATATGGTACTATCAGATCCAAATTTATGCTAGTGCTGTTAAAATTTTAGAACTAAGCATATCGGGACTGAATTTCTTCTCACTTGAATTTCTTTTCACAAAATTCATTACTTGATTCGATATGATAATGTGTTGATGACTGGATACATTTTTCGATACTGCACAAATAAGGAGTGCCTGAAATGCGCCTTATGTTAATGTGTTTCTGTTTTCAATTAATTTGTGGATGAAACGTTATAAAAGCATAATAATGGAACAAAATTGAATAGTCTATCTGCAAGGTAATATGTTAGCCCAAAGCTAAAACACTAGCAACAAGCTAACATGCTAGTCATGATACAGTGATTTGATAATCTGATACATTTCAGTGCTGTATTGTTACATACCTGTTTTACGATTGTCTGATGTGTTCCTTTTTTATGATCTGCAGTAATTAGAGTTATTTACTGTGCAATATAAAGGGAAGTTTATTACACAGCAGCACAGTGCAAAGTGATTTATTAACAAAAAAAATTTAAAAAGCATATTTTTTATTAGAAAATATTAGTAGCAATTGGCATGAATTCTTTATAGGCCTTAAGCTTGTGCTCCTATTATTTCTTCTCTCCTTTGAATTTCTGGATTTTTTTCAGAAATCATTTTTATCATGTAAAATATTAATGTGGAATATTTTTGGAAAAATGGGAATAACAATTAGAGGATGTCGTCTTATATATTCTTATCCAAAAGGGAGATGCTTGTTTTTACTATCAAGCACTTGCTGGTAAAGTCATATTCTATATTGGTCTCAGTGCTTCTAATTAGTCTGTTTGAACCTTGTGACATTGAGATGCCCTGATTGATTGGTTTTATTTTTATAATGTTTTTTTGTTGGCTGTTCTCCAATCAGAGCATGGACTCGTCTGACTTGTCAGATGGACCCATCACACTGCAGGAGTATCTGGAGGTGAAGAAAGCCCTGGCCTCCTCCGAGGCTAAAGTCCAGCAGCTCATGAAGGTCAACAACAACCTGAGTGAAGAGCTGAGGAGGCTTCAGAAAGAGGTACGGAACCAAAGATGAAGGAGATTGTGGAAGATTACAGAACATGTCTTAACCTGGTCACCTCGTAAGGGCAATGTTTTAAGTGCATAGGGACTTAAATTTAGACATTTCTGTTAGTAATTGGTGTGTTGGAAAACATGGATAATTTTAAACCTAAGGCTTCTGAGGGCGGGCTGTAATGCTTTAGCTTTGTTCTTCTTTCTTGATGAGATTGGTGTGTTTATGCCAAGGATGTAATTTGCTGTGATGACTCTCTTGATATAAGTTAATACATTTTTAGTGCAAACATGGGAATATAAGACAGGAAAAACAATCATATTTTCATTGCCTGTTTCAATGTAGACATAAATGTTTTAGAGTTCATTCAATCACTTTAATTTGGTCAGTATGTTTTATTGAGGTCTTTGTCACTACCTGTTTGTTCTTTGAGTGTCCCCATATACTTGGTCAGTCTCTCTCATGCACGCACGCATATATACACACACACACACACACACTGCAAGATGTTGCAGGCCCACCCTTCACCTAGACAAGTACAAGATGGTGCAGAATGCAGTATATGTGTTTATCCCTCCCTGAGAATGACTCCTGTCCTTGCTCAGACTCCCCTCATTTTATCAGTATGACAGTTTACTCCCTGCATGATGCAGCTCTTACCTGTATACCACTCGCCAACCCTTGTATTGGAATGACTCCTTCTGTTTCTGTATTTGTGTGAATGTGACTCCCGCTGATGCCCCTTCGTCCCCTGTAGATCTCGCGGATGCAGACGGAGAACACGGCGTTGCGGGGGGCCCAGGTTGGGGTGCCGGGGGCTCTGGGTGGGGGCGGCGGTGTGCCACTCTGGCCCGGTGGGGTGAGGGGAGTGGCAGGGGGAGGCGGAGGAACGGTCTGTGGGGATTTGGGCCTGGCCCCGCCCTCCTCAGCCCCGCTCCGCAGGGACAGGCAGGCCTTCTCTATGTACGAGCCTGGAGCAGCCGCCCCCAAAGCCCTCGCCCCAGCGCTGGACTCCCTAACCGACCACCTGCAGCCCCTTGGCCCCAGCGTAAGTGTGTGAGCGCTAGCGGCCGGCCTGATCCCTTGCACTCTGACCTTTTGTAACCTCTGTGTTCCTTTTCACCCTTCCTCCGTCTCCCTCTGCAGACCTGCACCAGCAGTGACACGCTTTTTCTGCCTTGGCAGTCCCTGCTTTAAACCTGTGTTTTTGTGTTCACCATTGACTCTAACTCACTACTGCACACTGCTCTTTACTGCCACCTCATGGCCATACATCAGCACAATCTGCACTTCCTTGACTGGGTAATACTCCAATTACTCCAAATAACACACACCTTTGAAAAGAATCACATCACCATGGTCAGGAGCATGAACTGCTGCTTTTTTGGAGGTGTATACAAGTTTAGAGGTCAAGTGATGGCATCCCTGCCTTTATGAGTTATGGTTTATGTGCCAAGAGAGGCTGTCTTTTTCAGATGAGCTTGTCTTGTGCTTAGCTGCTGTTTGAGCTAGCTGGGAATGTAGGCAATAACTGGTTTATGGAATGTTCAGGTGCCTGATTGACTGATCAGTAGACTGATTAGTGAGAGTGGCTTGAACTGAATGTACTGTCTCTTTTTATTTTTGTTTTTTTCCTCTCCACTGTTACCTTTAGGACCCAGGTCACCACTGCAGGACACAAATGGTGGATTAGCGTCTGAAGAAAAAAATAGCGCTTGTATATATTTGACTCGCCACCGCACGAGCCCTGAGCAGGCACTTACCTGAGACATGATGCTCGGGTTGTTCGTCTCACAATTACTATCCCCGTAATCCAGATCATTTCTGCTTCCAGCGCAAAATGCAGAAAGCACATTGAGATGTTAATTCCTGATGTGGCAAAACACACAGTAATATTTAATAGAGTATGTAAATGATGTATCTATGCAACAAGATCATGCTTTCTGTAGGTAGAGCAAGGTAATGGGCAGCCCTGTGGTTTGATGCTTACTTACAAGTTGTGTCTTCAGATTCAGTATAAGTTAGTATAATTGCAGAGTAAAGATTTGCACACAAAGGTTGAAGGACTTGCATGTTTAATGTAGAGAATTAGCCAATTTCTGATGTGTTTAATGTAATTTGTAGATGTAAATACATTAAACAATCTATTTGTAGATTTATTTCAAGTCTATTCCCACTGCAGACTTGCTTCTACTGTTCTGAACATTTCTAGGTTTTCCTGTTTAAAATTTCCTTACTATCTTCCTGAAAGCTGCCTGTATTATCCTTCTGACTTCTACATTTAACAAAAAAATTCTGATATTTTTTTTGTCTCTGCTTCCTTGACTTGCTATATAGTGCAACAAACTGACCATGCACTTGAATCACTGCAGAGCTGTTCTCTGCAGAAACATCTCTTGAGGTCTCCTTTCTATTTTCTGCTTGGTGGATGTCTTCCCTGTTTGGGTTTTTCTGTTTTCTGACTAAGCCTTGTTCTGTGTTACTTATGCTCTCCCTCAGGTGCGTAAAGGGTCTCCTGCAGGCCCCACACCCTATGGAGGACCACACCTGTCAGCCTCCATGGAGGTGGGGCGATATATGGTGAGTCAGGCAAGGACAGGGGGCAGGCTGATAGGTTCATGACTTGAAATATCTGCATTCAAGTGAATGGAGTAGTTCAGAGAAATTTCAAGGGATAATTTTCAGTAATTATTCAGTGAAACCAAGCAATGTGTACTTCTGTCTCTTCTCTAGGCTCCTAAGACAGAAAAACATGGTAGTGGCACTGACAGTGACTATGATAATACTCAAACATATGACACCTCACTTGGGTAAGTGTTTACTTCAGACCATTGCAAGTAAAAGCTTAAGATTTTGGTGCCTAAAGTTGGCTTTTTTTTAATTGTGCACCAGCATCATGAAACCTGCATGTCTAAATTATCACATACTTTCCCTTAAGCCATGTTATGTAATCTCAAACAATCTTGCCTGTGTGGTTTCTGATACTGTATAGCATACTGCTGTGTATAAAAGTGGACAAAAGTATGTTGCATAGCACAATTTAGTCTGTACATTTGTCCATATTCGTAAATAAAAGCATATAATACAGAACTATTCATTTAAAAATAGTTGAGTTACAAACGTCATACCTTTTATCAATACAACCTAATTGAGTTCAAGCGATATGACTTCTATTCCTCGACTCTTGTTTTATTCTGTTGGTGTGCAGCGTCGGCCGTAGCAGTGAGGAGGACAGCCGAGGGGAGGTGGAGGAGAGTGGTGATGGTGGGGAGCCAGACCCCACGCTGCCATGCACGGAGGATGTCATCCTGAAGACTGAGCAAGTCACCAAGAACATCCAGGAGCTGCTTAGAGCAGCACAGGAGTTCAAACATGATAGGTAAGAGCTTCATATTACCACAGCTTAGCATAGCTTTGCAAATACATTGTTCTGTTACACTGTATATGAACCCACTTTAGTGCATTGTCATGAAATGATGGTATAGTTTATTTGTGTGGCCTATAGATTGCAAGAAAATGCACACCGTAGCCTAATTTTCCAGATTATGAACCAAGTCAAATAGGCTACGTTTACACAGCAGGTAAAAGTGGCCCAAGTCCGATCTTTTTCCTCATATGTGACACAGATGTGTCATTAGTGTGGCAGTGTGAACAGCAAAAAACGCATTGAATCTGACATTTTCAATTCCGATTTGAGACGCTTTCATACATGGTACTGGAATCCGATACCTGTCCGATCTTCGGCAATGCGACTCAGTCTGAACAGCCAGATCGGAATTCATGCGACTTTTACGTCAATCCAACTCAACATTCGTCATATCTTTACGCTGCTGAGACTCGTAAACATTTAGGCTGATGTTTCTGTACCAAAACATTAGAAGAGACTCATCAAACCGCTCCGTGTTTCGAACGGTTTCGAACGAAATGGCCAAACGCGGCCGGAGGAGGCCGAGGCTGCAGCGTCAGAACGGTTTAAAGAATCCGAGGACACCAACCAAAGAAGTGGCTGTGGCCGAATAACGTGCCCTTTTTACGGTGAACTGAAACACATTGTGGGTGATGAGTCCAGTTGTCAGTCATTGGAACTTTAAAATTGCTCCTGTGATGCTGACAAAGACGAAACTGAAAGCTCCGGGAGCGACTGGCGTTCGTTGGCTGTCATGATTGTTTACCCTTGGATGAGCTGCCACATGAAGCATTGTTCTTTTGCACATGCGGGTCGGTTTAGGAGCTGATCTGTTCAGACTGATGTTGCATACAGGTCACATTTAAAAGATAATGTGAACAGCCTAACAAAAAAAATCGAATTTGGTGAGAAAATCAAATTTGGGCCACTTTTACCTGCTGTGTAAACGTAGCCATAATGTCATTTAGCTTGTACATTCTCTAATGCAGCCTCTCACTCTGGTTATAGTTTTGTGCCATGCTCAGAGAAGATTCATTCAGCTGTGACAGAAATGGCCTCTCTTTTTCCTAAGGTAAGTCCGCCACCTTCTTGCTGCCCCTTTTAGCTTTTTCTTTTGGTGGTTGAGATCTGCCTTGTGTTCCAGTTCTGGAAAAGAAAGTCTCTCTCAGGCCTCTCTTTCACACTTGGCCTCAGGGGAATCCCTGCCACCATCTTGAAGCACATTTCGATTTTTGAAAGGGTCGAGTCATGTTTGCACTGACAGCCCCTTGAACTTTTGATTTTGCCTTATTATCTTCCGGCGTACGGTCACCCTCTTCAGCTACAGAAGATACAGCATTTCAGCAGACACTAAATAGCAATGGGTGATCTTCTTTTGCTGTCTGTGCTTGCTGGTTGTAAATTATTTCAGCAAATCAGTTTCTTTAAGTTAAAGTAAAGGTAACGTAATCTTTGCCGCACACTGATGGCAGACTGGTCTGCTAGTTAACTGAATGTAGCTTGGCTGCTACCAACTTTAGCATGCAAACTGTTAGGACAACACTCTGTCCCGTCTCCATGTTTGTAAGTGTTCAAGGAGGTTAATTTGTTCCATTTTTAAACTTGCCACAGCTCACACTACATTCTACTGTCTGAGCACTCAAGTTACATATCACTGTACAAAGAAAACCAAGTATGTCCAAAATTGTAACTTTACAGAAGAAGCAAAACATTTTTCACTTTCAATGTAAGTCAGTGTAAAGAAATTTTATTCTACATGAATTTGGAGCATTTGTATTGGTCCAATCATGAAATTTAATTTAATAACACACAATATAAAGGACATCTGGTATGTGTAAATAAGTTAGACAAGTAGAAGTCCAAAAAAAAAATAGATGTTTTCTTTGGACAGTGAGGATACTACATGGCCAAAAGTATGTGGGCACTCCTTCTAATGAATAGGTTTTGCTATTTCAGGCAAACCCATTGATAACGGGTACATAAAATTAATCATTCCATCTCTATAGACAAAAAATGACAATAGAATGGCTCATAATAAAGAGCTCAGTGGCTTTCAATGTAGCACTGTTATAGGATGTCACTTTTTATGCAAGTCAGTTCATCAAAAGTTTGCCTCAGTCAACTGTAACAGCTGTCATTGTCTGGAACAACAGCTCAGCCATGAAGCAGTGGACTGGAGCTGTGTAGAACACACCAGCATTGAATTCTGGAACAGAAATGTGTTCTCTGGAGTGATGAATTGTGTCTCACCATATGGCTGTCCGCATTTGGGTTTGGGCAAAGCCAAGAGAATGCTACCTGTCTGAATGCATAGTGCCAACTGTTAAGTTTAGTGGAGGGAAAAAAATGGTCTGGAACCATTTTTCATGGATGGGTTTTCAGGGCTGGGTCACTTAGTTCCAGTGAAGGGAAATCTTAATGCATTGCTATCACTCTTTGCAGAAAAGGTTATATATAATACCAGAAAAGAGATGAGAAGATGCACATATTCAAGTGTCAACATGCTTTAGCAATGGCGTGTGTGTATGACACTGTATGAGGTTTTGGAGGCAGAAAGGAAGGTCATCAAAAAAAAAAAAAAATTGAATTGGAGGTTGAACTCTGTCTCTGTCTCTCTGCTTCATCCACAGAGGCCAGCGTTGGATGCTGTCCGCTCCTCTCTGAGGCTGCTGGGGGCCAGTGCCTCTCGACTACAGGTAGAGTGTCGCAAGGCGGCGCCCTCTGAGCCGTCGGCCAGCACAGTGGACTACCAGCTCCTCACACAGCAGGTCATCCAGTGCGCCTATGATATTGCCAAGGCCGCCAAACAACTGGTCACCATCACAACCCGTGAGAAGAAGCAGTGACCCACTGTGTGAGCAGGGCACATGCTTTACTGAGAGATGGGCAGGGGGACGCACTACAGAAACGGGACAGGAACGGGCATGTTGGTGGTGAAGGAAAGGACTAGAAACAAACGGAGCTGCTGAAGTTAAGAATGAAACAAATGATGGAAGGAGGAAGCATATGGATGTTGAATGTTGAGAATGATGAAAGTGAAAAGGAAATGAATGAAAAGGAAAGAAAATATTGCGAGTGATGAAAAGACAATGAAAGAAGGGAAGCTACAAGCAGCTATCACCACCAAAATGGAGAGAGGGTGGCTTCGTGGGAGACTTTTTTCGGAACGGCAAATCATCTCACTCCTCTGGCTCTTCTGTTATCGGGTTTTTCTCTACCCGAACCCTTCACTCAAGTTTTACTTTCTCTTTTTTTCTGTCTCTTTCTTTCACACACACACACACACACACACACACACCACACACACACACACACTCGTACGCGCACACACACATACATACACACACACACACACACTTTCTTTCACATGTACAAACACACAGTTCAGTGCTTGTGGCCTTTTACTATACTCACTGCGGCTCTTCTGGTTCATGTTCACATATACATTCTCTTTTAACACTACACAAACACACACACACACACTCACTCCCAGCCTTGTTCCAGAGAACCAGACCACCGCCCCTAGCACCACTGTGTGTTTGTTTGTGTGTTGTCTTTATCTCTCTGTTTTGCTGTCATTGTTTTTATTTTTCTCTTAATCTCTCTCCTTCCTCAATCCATTTTTATTTTTGAATGCCACTTCACTGGCCTGTACCTCTCGGGACAAATGCTCAGACTTAAAAAAAGAAAACACTGGAATTATTGTAATGATTATGACTATAGTTTTGTATTAATGTAATGATTATCATTGTCATTGATGGATTCTTCTGACATTTGTTAAATATGTATTATTATTATTTTTTGGTTAATTTTTTTTTGTTTTTTTGGTTATTATTTCACTTTTTGTTATTTCATTTATCACGTGGTCAAGAAAAAAAGGGGAGCGTTCTTGAATGGGACACTCAGATCTTACAGTATTGGGTGTGTTCACAAACCTGTGAAAAGATCCCCCTGATCTTACCGGACACGCCTGTACTCTAGGGAACATGTTTGGATCACTATGTGTCACTATGTGTACAACTCTCTTGCATTCATCATAGCCAAACGAGAATGACGAGTGTGAGAACACTGTAGCGATGACCTTACCCTTTTGAGCACAAAGGCAGTGGTCAGCGTTGACCCAGACGGCTGTGTACACTGATGTCGGAAGGTAAAGTCAGCTCTCATCCTGATGAGGAGACAGATCTATTCATCTCATCACTATTCCTCCATTGTGGGCTCATTTCGCTACATTCTCTGCCTGCACCTTTCAGTTTAGCAACAAGGAGCTCCGCTCTGGTGGGACGGTTCTCTCTCCAGCTCTTCCATCGTACTTTATTTGAGAGTATCAAGTCGGCTTCTTTAGTGGTGTAGTGCGTTAGGGAACTTTGATGTGAGACCTTATTTCCTGGACCAGATTTGTTTTTCTGAGAATATCAGATTTTTATGTAGTATGCTTCATGCCTCTTTTATTGGAAAGCATGTGTACTGTCAATGTAACAAGACCCTTATGTTATATAAGCTACATGGAAGTGAATGTTGGTGGTAGAAGACCGCCATCAACTTTCTCCTCCCAGGCACTTCAGCAGGTTACGGTAATGGGGAAAAAAAAAGACAGCTGTGCTGTATAAACCTCTCCCTCAGTTGATCCAGGAGCAATGAAGCCAGTGTGGGTGAGACTGTAGGCAGCAGCAGGGGACTGTGGGTTACTGCTGAATGGCTCTTAGCACGACGCAGTCATTTCAGCTGAGAAGTACTTCTCATGATGTTTGTGGGGATGGTGAACTGGAGCTTTCAAAGCGCAAACACACTAAGCACTACTTAATCTAAACACTATGTTCATCATCCTGAGGCTTAATTTAGACAGCCATGTAAGTTATTCACACAGGCCTGTCTGATGCTTACTTTAACACAAAAAAATGAGTTTCTATCTGGACCACATTCACATTTCAGCAGGTGATCGCATAGTGATGGTGTCTGAACAGAGGTGGAATTGTTTTACCTTGTCCAGATGCAGCCTGCATGACATCAGCTTCACTCAAATACTGTCAATTTATTTTCAGTGTTACACGGTTAGTTTTGTATGTTTCCTTTGCCACTATATAAGCCTTAAAAGTTCTTCGGTTGCAATTTTGCTTACGTTGTTTCTTACATTGTCTAAGATCCCATGTGAATTTCAACCAGTACATGCACTTGCCTTTTTGTGTTTGGGGAATGGGATGATGCATTTCCCTTAAAATGTGTCAAAAAAGATTGTCGGAGAGAATCTGTCATCATTGCCTTTGCACATCTGCCAGACTGATTCTTTGTAGCATCTGTTGTTTTGATAGTTGCCATCTCTTTTATCCTCTTTGACCTCTCTGGGTAGCACACATAGAACAGAGTTATTGAGTATGTGTCACGCAGATCGGTAATGTTATACGGTGGTTCTTGGGAGTTGTTTATTTTTGTGACAGTAGTTAGATATTGGGAGAACCCAGGAGGTTAGCACCAAACTGGGAGAAGAGATGGGGATGTGTGTGTTGGGAAAGCGGGAGCCTTTGCACACACTGACTGCATGATTTATCCAGCACAATGTTGGGCTCCTTTGGTGTAAACTGTAGAAATGTAATGTCTGCCTTTGTCCCACGCAGCCTCATGCCATCATGCAGTCAATGCACACATGAACAAAGCCTTCACATGCACGCAGACGTGCGTGCACTCGAGCGAGCATCCACATCCTACTTTTGCGTAGTCTCTTCTTCGGTTCAGTCCAGCCCACTGCACTGTACTCATAATGACTGTTCTGAGATTGCTGATGGGAGAAATTCTTTTAGAGTTAACTGTATAAAATAAAGAAATAAACAACTAAGCAAAAACAAATCATAATAGAAACTCGTAAGCTGTACATTTGTAATAAAGACAAAAAATGTTAATTGTCCTACAAGAATGCTTATTTTTTATTTGTGTATTTTGACATCACATAGGCGGTTATCTGTGTATATAATGTGGGGTAGGTATGTGTGTGGTTTTCTTTTTAAGTTAACAGATTTTGTCAATAAGGTGTTTGGGTGTTCAAGAACTGTTTAACAATGCATATTAATACATTATTTTCCACACGCCAGCTAAACAAAACTATATATTTGAATATACAGACTCTTTGTACTGCATAGAAACAATTTTCTCTTGAACACAATCCTCTGGATTGTATAAACATACCTTTATACTGTATGTACACAGCCAGTATTTGCCAGGATGGTGGTATCTCAGAAGATGGAGCGTAGATCACCTTACCAAGATGTATGCCAACTGCCCACAGTTGGGGAGAGATGAAAAGATATTGTGAAAAGGTAACCATTGAGTTCAGACCACTGCAGCATGGCATATTGTTTTGAGTTAATGGTTCCAATGGTGTTTCCATGGTGACCTGTATCAAAATGTTCAGCCTACACCAGTAAACACACTCAATCCCAACTGGATTAGGAGAAGAATACAGTAAAATCCCTGCAGAATGAATGAAATATATGTACTAAGATGTGGATATTTTTTTGTAAAGAACATGCAACTGATTATTAGTTTAATCTTAATGTCAATATTAATACTGTACTCTTCTAAAGACAAACATATTCACAAAAGATTAAAAGCAACATAGGAGACAATCCATACAGTAACTGTACTTCAGTGATGTTTATCATAATGTATTGAGTCTTTATTATTTTATATTATGTATTATCTTGCTATATTGCTATATTATACTATTATTTATTTTTTGGAGTAATGAAAGATACAAATATCAGTGTCCATCAACACTGAACAGTGTATACTTAAGCATTGACAGTAATACATGTTATGTTTATGGTCTAATAGCAATCTCAGATAGTAGAGTAATTTGTACTAGTTTGACTTGGTGACAGCTAATTTAGCTGAACTTTAGTGTGATAGCAGTGTGTTATTACAGTAAGTAATGTTAACCTTGCGAATGTTTTCTGGTAGGTGCATAAGAATTGAAGAATTGTTAACAAAAAATTTAATTGTTGCGCTAACCTAACCTGAGGCCTTATTCCATCTCTAAAGTGAACAAAATTACAATAAACACATGTAGACAAATATGTTGCAGATAATGTTCTAAGAATTTCAATATCATTACTGACATATGGGCTTAAGGTTTTGAAAAGTGCTGGGGACGGGCTTCACAGTGACAACCATAAACAGACCACAATAGTCGTGCGTCATTCAGCAGACCTCGTTATGCCCATATTAGGAACTCCGGGTCTAAGCCTATTTCTTTATGGGCAGAATGAATAGGGTTTTCGAAAAATCGCCTCTATCGCACCCAGTGTTAAATAAAAGTGTTCAGAACCCGATACGTTTTGTCCTGTGAACATTTTTCTCCAGAATACCACTGGATCCTCTGAATTACGAGGTCGTTAAAGAGCTATAATACTAATATTGCTACATGCGAGCTAAAGCTACTGCGCATCAATTTGATGTCACTAAGCTACACGAAACTAAGGCGGGCTGTGGCGGTGCTCTGACGAGCTGTGCTACCTTACCGAAATGTTCTACAGGAGCGCATATTTATGGGTACACCCGTAAATACAACCTCTAGGTAGGATATTTTTATAGGCTAAAACTCCTTATCAAAAATACTACCCGTGTTAAAACTACGAGACTGAATTTAGCTTTTTTTCGCAGCTTCTTGTTTGAAGAACAAGATGAACCTTAAATGGTGCAGCAGCTGTGACTAGCCATCACAAACATTAGCAAACGAGACAGAGAAATACTGACCTGTGAGTTCGGTGAAACAGCAAAAATAAGTCAATGTTACTCAGCTGTTCAGCGGAAATAGAGAAACCTCCTCTTATCACGCCTTTGCATCCTCCATGAAGCTGAAGTCAGCTTCTTTTTCGCCGACTGCTTATTCGACTTTTCCCGTTCCACCTTAAATGCAGCATTTTAGAACGTAACTGCTGCGCCATTTAAAGTGGAACGAGAAAAGTCGAACAAAAAGCTGGCGAACTTCCTGAGAAAATGTCCTCAGAAAAAATGTTACCAGCATTAAAATAAAAAATTAGGATATTCCGAGAGCCTAAATCAGTTTATCAGGGGGTGATAACCTGCTTAAGGAGGCTGTCAGTCTAATGACGTGAATTCAGTGCGTAGTAGCTTTAGCTTACATGTAGCAATATTCATATTTAAACTCTGTAACGACCTCGTAATTCAGAGGATCCAGTGTTATTCGAGAGAAAAGTGTTCACAGGACAAAACGTATCGGGTTCTGAACACTTTTATTTTCCACTGGATGCGATAGAGGCGATGTTACGAAAACCCTATTCATTCTGCCCATAGAAAAATGGGGCTTAGACCCGGAGTTCCTAACATGGGCATAACAACATGGCGCCGACTACAAAATGACGACACGTCTACAGTGGTCTATGGAAACTAGACTTACACATAGTTACATTCGCAATACAGTGCAAGGCACTTTCCATAATTACTTCATTTAAGCCTCAAAACTCTTTAAAGTGTACTTTTTCCTTTGACGATTTTGACAAAGTATTAATCAGAGCAAGTGCTTAGCCTTGAGAAAATGTTATTTTCCCACCTCAGGCTTTCAAATCAAATACAATATGATCCGTTTTACCTGAAACTTTCTAGGGAGATGTATAAATAGCATTTAAAAGCCTGTGATAATTCATTACTTTCTAGCAAGAAATACATATTGTAGCGTGTTCAAGAAATGTTAGTTTTAGGTCATTTGTTCTCATTCTGCTAAGGACTCTTATTTTGAAGGGAGGAGCTAGTTCATTATATGCGCGTGAGCGGAAAAAGCGATGGGAGAGAGAAGCGAACATAAACGCGGCACAATATAACTACGAGGAGAAAATGTGTGTGGGGGATATCAAAGTAAGCAAAATTCACACATTTTTGTAGTCATTTTATTAATATTCACATTAATAGTTGACAACCACAACAAAGAATACATCTTTCATAGGCAAAACATCTCAGCTCAACGTATCCTGTCTAAGGCTGATGCCTAAATGCCATTGAGAGTTAAATAGTACACACTGAACCCTAACTGACATTGGGGACTCCGAGCTGCCTAACTGGAGTGTTCTACACTATTACATGCCAATGTGAACCTACTGGTTTGTTTCACAGACACAACACAGACTGACTGACCTTCAAAGGCTACGTCTTGGGAGCATCTTGTGAGAGGAATCATTGTTTCAGGGGTCAGTGATGACCTCTAACATCTATTCCCGCTACTGCTGACTAAAGGACACTCAAGGACAATCTGCCTGTCACAAGTCCTTCTGATTTTGTTCCCATAAAATCGAGGTCAGTGGATATGAAAATATGGTAGTATTTAACATGTTTAACACTGATTATATGTGTATAATCAAGCCTTATTGTGCTTCCATAGTGAATGACTTTCCATAGTGAGCCACTTTCTGTATACTAGGGTGAGATGAAAATAGAGTATAATTACTATTATTGCTGTGTAACAACTTGTAGTGGTCACTTCTGTTCAGATTAGTGTTGCATGACTCCAGTTTTACCATATCAAACAATCTCTGGCCATCAGAAGCTGGAGTAATGTTCTTCTGATGTTTCTGAGGTTGATTTAAAATGGGAACATTCAAATTAGCATGTGTAACGCTTGATAAAATTCTGGACTGCTACATTAATGTTTAATTGGCTGGTCAGATTTGCTTAACAATTCCATCATGTATACACTCGGACCAAAAGACTTTACACCAGAATTGAATCCAGCTGATTAATACCTTTAGTTTACTGTTAAGTGCTGTGTTTCAGTGTAGATAAAATGGAATTCAGTGCTTAGCTACATTTAAAAAAATACTTGGTACTTTTAACAACATTTCATTTGTCAGACTTATCCATCATCTGGCACAAGCATTCACACAGAGCATGCATAATTCACAAACTATGGCAAGGCTCAGCTTTGCTTAGCAGGTACACATATTTTGTAATAACTAAACTGTACAATCAGAATATTTCAAAGAAATGTGTAACGCATTGACTTTCCTTCACCCTGCCTGATTCTGCATCAGTGTGCTTTTGTGTCCTAACGGATGGTGCAGGTTCATGTGAACTGACCACAAACTGCAGTGAAATGAAGCATGATGTTTAACAGAGTCATAAGATATGCTGACTTTTGTCTAACAGGAACTCTCCCTGCTTACAAGACGAGGTCGTGTTGAACAGGTGGGAAGTTTCTGTTTCTGTATTCTGATGTGTCGTTTGCCTTGAGTTGTCAGTAGATGTCTCTCTGTTATATATTTGTGTCATATGTTTATATGCCCAGTTATGAATTGCCCCTCAGGGACAAATAAAATATATTAAATTCAATTCAGTATTCAAGAATAAATTAACATTTCTGCTGCTGTTATGAGCAAAATGAAAATGAAACTAATTTTCTGAAGCATACGTTATTGCTGCTTATTTTTGCTCTGCATCATGATCATTACACTAGCACACACCTAACACACCTAACAATGGATTGTCTCCTCACATATACTAAATACACCTAGGCATAAACACTGCCTTGCTATTTCTTCACCCTCATTTGCCTTTACTTTGTTAAGAATTAAAAAAAAAAACTACCTGTAAACATTCATTGTATTTTTTAACTCATAAAATACTGTCCAGAGAAAGGTACACAACTGCAGACCTTTTCTTTGTGTCCCTGTACCAGTCTATCAAGTATCTTTTATTCATTGTGGTGACAACAGAAACATTGAGGGTGTATTTACAAAACTGTTGTGTGTGAATGTGTGAGTCTGGGGTGGGTGGCATACTCTAATAACACTGTATGGGCGTTCACTGTAGTTGACTGTATCAGTGAGTGTGTGACTACTACACACTGAAGCTTATGCAACCCCTGCACTGTACACAAGACACAAAGAGAGCTACAGACAGGACAACTGTAAATATATTCACTGGCTCACTGGCTCAGATATTACACAACATGTATATGCTGCATTCTGAATCCACTCTGTGGTGCCTTGACATTCACAAAATGTTTATACTCTAAACAGGCCTTCTTGGTGATTTACATTTATACTGTATCCCAAAAAGGTTTCTAGTATGACTGAAGAGACTGATTTTTTATTTCAGGGAATGTGTTTCTAAATATGCTGGGGCTGATTTAAATCATGTATATTAATATTATTTTAATGAAGTATATTAGTACTAATAAAGAGTCCACTAGCTCAACTCCATAATAGGGGTGTGCTGAAATGAAAATTCTTGGCTGAAACATAAACCCAAAATTCAGACCAGGGCTGACAACCAAAAAAAAAGGTGACAGTAAATAACAGTTTATATGAAATAAAATCACTAAAACTATTACAGTATGTAGGTTACAGTATGTGCCACAAATTCCAGTGTCCTCACAACAGAGAACGATTGGTCATCGAAAACTATTTCTACTAATTCTATTATTTTTTTCCTACGCTCTTAAAGAAGATGGTTCTTCAAGGGTTCTTTAGTAAAGACAATGGTTGTATATAGAACCATGAACATTCAAAGAACCATTTGCATGCTTAAATGTTTTTTTGCATGGTGAAATGGTTTTTCAGATCAATGGATAATGTGTTGTATATGATTCTAAAAAACCTTTTTGAAAAGAGTTCTATATTGCACCAAAAAGGGTTCTTCTATTGTTACAAGCTTGACATCTTACCAATAGCAGAACCCTTTTTGGTGCTATATAAAACCATATACAACACATTCTCCATCAATATGAAGAACCATTCATAAAAACATTTAAGCACGCAAATGGTTCTTTGAGTGTTGAGGGTTCTATATAAAACCCTTGAAAAACCATCCTTTTTAAGCGTTTGTACTTTACACTGAACACGTTTTTCTTCTTTTTGAAAACTGTAGGGAGGGGCTTTCCTTTCTGCTTCTGTGCTGTATTTGGAAATTCAGTGGGATGTCGTGTTTTCAAGTTCTATCAAACCTGTAGTGGAGAAGTTCTTGGATGTTGTTCCCTCTTGATACTTGACATGAACTGTGATTACAAATCGCTGGTCTAATGCGAAGTAGTTAGATAGTCCAAATAGTCTAACAGTGTCAAATTGGAGTTTGGAAGAAGAAAAATGAATAAAACTGAAGGGGTGGATCAAATATTAATTTTGCTACACCTCTTGGGCCGACTGAGGTATAAAAAAACACCTTTTTATGCCTTTGATTACGTGGCAGCTCCTTATGATGCAGGCAAATTAATAAAATACTAAACTGGCCAACAGCATTCAGTTAGATACCACTTGGCAACTTTAATGCAACATTAATTGGAGTTAAAATGTAATCGATTGTCCCTCAATCACATTGTCATATGCTAAGTTTAGTTAGTTCTTCAGTTCTTTCACAACCATATCAATGGGTATCATACAGAACATCTCCTAATCATGGACAGTGAGATGGACCTGATTTTGTATTTTCGTCGTGCTGTGTCAGCATGCTTCCCTCCTGCATAATACGCCTTCATATGTCCCACAGCATCTCATGTTTCTTTTCTTACTGCCTCTTCCTTCTGCTCCTGGCATACTCTCATAACACTCATATAGCATGTGGGACTGAGCCTTTTTCTCCACTCTGTGCTACAGTAAACGTTGGGAAGGTGTGTGTTAATCTACGATCCTGATGTTCAACTAATTATTCAGTTACTCTAGAGATCAGAGAAATGCTGATATAAGTGACAGACAAGGTAATGACTCATTGTTACTGTAATCTATGCACATTACAGTGGAACTGTAAATGTCCTACTATTCAAACAGCCTACAAGTGCCTAGTAGTGTTCTATGTATGGAGGTAACATGTTAGGAGTAGGTGGTGTTTGTTGATTTAATTAGGTTAAACAGACAGTCTGGCATGCTTGTAATAGTGGGTGCTTACTGACGGCCATAATAATTGAACAAGACACAACTGAAGTGAACTCTATAGTTTCCATTGAAGGATACCTGCTGCCAAAGGGACAAATAATACTGGTTCATTTATAATCTTGGAGCAACGCACTGTAGTGTTGATATACTAATGGTTATAGTGGCAGTAGAGGATAGTGAAGTGGATACTGGTACTGACCAAATAAACTTAATCCTACCCAGTGGTTTCCATTCATACTTAACCTCCAACCTGCTAGCCTCGTAGAACCATCCTGAAACTAATTTTATTTTTGTCTAGGTTTTTGTTGTTTCATACTGTTTAAGTGTGCTGGTGCTACCAAATGGTCGTAAGCATTTGGTGCAGCCACTGTTCTTGTTTTCAAGTTTCACCACTAGCGTTGCTGACCCCCACAGAAAATCTAACTTGGAAAGCAAACAAAAAAATGTTTCAGGATGGTTGTATGAGGCTACCAACATCCTGCATTCAGACAAGTTTATGAAGGAAACCAAGTATGGATTATCCTGAATGAAACCACAAACCTGTCAAAGCCTTGCCTTGAGATCTGATCTGTGTATATCTGGGGAAACAGAGAACATGGTTAAAGAAGAGAGAAGAAGCTGTTGACAATGGTGAGATAAATGCAGGTTTTAACGGGTCAGCTTGTGTACTGCTAGTGTACTTGTTTGAACCCATTCCCTGGCAACTAGATGCGACAGGCTGGACTGAGACGAGGGAGACTGTGGACCCCGGAGAAACACTGCGAGAGGTGTTGCAATGTGGGTGGGAGGTGGCTGCCACTCGGGGAGGACCAGGAGATGATATTGGTGCCACGGTCCGTGTGAGCTTGTGCATCCTCTTGGAAGCTCAGCATGTAAGACTCAGTCTGTGGAACAGAAGTTAGAGGTACTAAACCTCAGAGCTTTGAGTGGAAAAATGGTGTTTTCTCTGATAAAACACATCATATATTGAAATTAATATATTGATTAATTTAGATCAAGGGGTTTGAAACCTTTTCTGAACTGGGGATAGCATTAGAATTTCTTGGCACTGAGCAAGTAATGTTAAATAAACTCTTCTATCAAATCAATCTAATCTTAAATTTATTTGTTAGGAAGCCTGTGGCATCAATACTAAGTGGGACAAAGGTCTACTCAGTTCATTTCAATGTAGTTAAAATGCCCATATAATTTAGGTAAATTGTGCTTTGATCTTGTCCTAATATAACTCTTCTGATTCTGATTCTTCATTTAATGGGAATGTTAACATTAGTTGTTCCTACTCTATGTATCAGTTTCGCAAAGAAATCTGCTGACAGGAAATTTTAACTGTGGGATGGAACAGAATGGCAACTCACTGGATGGGAAGGCTTCCATTACTTATCAGTCAGCATAAAACTCTGCGTATCTGACTTGCTGGAGAGTCTGTATCTCAAACAGGCCTCCGAGTGGCATTGGCTGTAGCTGAGATGTATACCTTACTAAAGTTTCTTGAATATAAAATTGATATCACAGATAATTAATTTGAAGGTGACCTTGTAGTGGCATGTCAGATGCATTCAAATAATGTAATGAAATAGGTCCAAGAGATTTGCTTACGGTTACTCATTTTCAAATTTTTGAAAACACCTTTTGTGGCTGTGATTTGCTGGAAGAAAAAAGACAGACATCCCTCAGGAAGGAGAGTTCAATAGAACATTAATGATTAGAGACCATTTCTGAGAACTTCCTTTAATAGCTAAAAATAATTTGGAAGGCTATAATTGAGAAATTCTCTGAGGGCAATATCTGACAATGTACTCATCAACATGCAAACAGTGTCAGTGTAGCAACTGTTTTAGTCAAATAAAATAGCCTTATGCATCCCAAACCAACAGTTTAGAGCTGTATGTAGTGTTATCATGTACTTATAATTGTGTTTTAATCAGAACACTCTACACATCAGGATCAGAGTTTTTATCAGCTCCAAAACACTATAAAACAATCAGGGTGCACTGATTAAACTGTTTTATGGCTTCCATGGCTTATCAGTCATCATAAAGCTCTGGCTACATGACTGGGCAGAGAGTCTGTCCCTCAAACAAACCCCCAGCAAGTGCCTTTGGTTTTAGTTAAATTGTACATTTTGCCAATTTTAGAAAGAATTAATTTAAAGTTGTCCTTTCAGTGGCATGTTGGATACATTCAATTGACATGATAAAAAAGAGATCCAACAATTTTGCTTATGGCTACTGATTTCCAAATCAGCTTTTAAATTTTGAAAGCTTTATGCTTTAGCTATCAATGACGACAATAAAGGGCAGCTGCCTCCTTCCCCTTCCTTTTTTCAAAGGCGAAACAAAATAAAAAGAACAAAAAAAACAGAGTTTTGAGGTTTTCTTAAGACATTGACAAAAAGGATAACTCAGGAAATAGAGAAAAGAACAAGTGGGGATAACAGAGCAATTAGTTAAACAGACGAGAAAGACTAAATAGAATAATGAAATGAAAAACCTACAGAAAGAAATTAAAAATATTAAGAGTTAAAGGCCCATGGACTAGATCGCAGCTTAGTTAAGGTGCCTAATATATATTCTTACTTGTCGCAGTGATACGCTTGTCCAGGCCCTGGGAGTTCAAGAACCCCTCTCCCCCAGAGGGAACAGCAGAGGAGCCCTCCTTCAGCCCACTCTCCTTAGCTCCTTTGTCTGCCTGACTGGGGAGGCTTGCAGCAGGGGCAGGTGGGCTTCCCTCGGATTTCTGCTGTTGCTCCCCAGCCTGGAAACACAAATGAACACTGTTATGTACAGAAAGGATGATGAGGATGTATCAGAATGTCTGTTAACACAGGCTCTGTGTAGAAGGAGGGGAGTGTAGCACAGGCCACTTCACATACGAGCAATAGCTTTCATGATGCTGCAGCCTTTCTGCTACCTACTCTTCCTGTGGTACAAATGTGTTGTAGTGTGACGATGGGCAAGAAGTGCCAGCAGTTCATGTATTTTGGGCATGTTTTCCTACAAATACAATAAATCATGATGTACAGCACTGTGCTTAAGTCAGATACCACCCCTCATTTATTTAATTGCCAGTCAGAACAGCCATTAAATACAACTTATTAATTCTTCAAGAGATATTTCAGAGATGGATTAGATATAAAATAATCCACTTGCATAAGGAAGGGGCAAGTCAAAGGAAAAGAAGTGAAAAAACTTAAAGCTTTCAGCTTTGAGAGACAGGAGAAAATCAGTCTCTGCTTCAGACAATGAAACTGCTGGTGTTCTCAAAATGATGGACTGACCACCCAAAAGCCCAAAGCTTAACGTCATTGAATGTGTTTGGATAATGAAATGCAACCAACTTCTAAGACTGAACTTTGGAGGTGTGGAAAAACATCCTTGCAGATTTCTTTGAAAAACTGAAAGCAAGTCTTCCAAAAAGAATGGAAGCTCTTCTAAAGGCAAAAAAATGTACACACTTAAAAATGTATTATTTTTAGTTGTGGCTTCTGACTAATTCTGTTAAATACATGTTTTCTGCTTTTCCCTGACTCCAAAAAGACAACTTTTCACTGGAAATTAAATAAATAAAGGGTGGTTTCTGATCTCTCTTTCCTCAATACTGTATCCATAGAGAAAAACATAAAAACCCTAATATATGCCTAATAACGTTTGTAACAGACACCTAGATAAAAGAAACTTCTAATGGTTTATGACTCGTTAATGAAATATTAGCAAAACTGTTCTGCAGATTTACTGCGAGATGATCTGTTGATTTACAGATGTGACCATTTTTTTGGCCACAAGTACTAGATGTTCTTTTTGTTCCTTTAAATTGAACCTAGACTTGAATTTAACTCAAGTGGTTCAGTTTAACTGAAATAATTAATCAAAAAGGTGTTGGAGACTTGTTTAAAGTCCTCTGTACATTAGCTTTGGCTACATTTTTACAAACTGACAACTAAAATTAAATCTGCATGACAGTAGAACAGAGATTTGTAGGTGAGGTAGCAGTGGCGTTTATTACTTTGATTTGGTCGCCTTCTGGTTTATGGCTCACATCATCCGGTGATCCTTCATTGGCATTGGGGCTGCTGTTTGTCTTAGGAGATTCCACGTCACCACCACCTGTCATGGATCAGTGGTTACTTACATAATATGTATAGTATAAACAGAGAAATGATCAGCATTTGACTAAGCAGTCAGTTAGTTACCTGGTTTGTGCTTAATGTTGTCCTTGGAGCCACACTTTGCGGTCACTTTGCTCACATCAACCTTTTTGTTTTGAATCTGAACCTGAAGATCATCACATTAGGAAGACATTAAGTTCATGGGGAGGTTGTTATGTTAAAGAGATAAGAGTCCTTTATCTGTGATAGGAGTCAAAATGAGTCATAATGTAGTAGAAATCATTGAGAATTATGTGTTCTATCCTTACATTACATAGTAGTTCTGTATTTTTATACATTTTATACATAAATATTTTTACATATGTAATGCCCCTTAGATGTGTTGTGGATGACCCAGGCTGATACTGTTTTTAAGTTTTAAGTTTTTAATCAAATATAAAGTAACTGCATTTGCATTGTTTGTTTTTTTTTGTTTTTTTTTGCAGTTTGTTGAGGTTACTTTTTTCATTTTCACACAAAAATCAACAAAATATCTAACTTGTCCAGGGGTGTCCAACATACAACAGCAGCAACAAAATATCAGTCCAAATATGAACTTTAATAAACGATATGCTATTAGTCTACTGACGTTTTCAAATTGAAAATGTCATTGCTTAGGTACGTAAGTTTTGTTCGTTTGTCTAATATTATTAGGCAAGTGCTAAATACATACATATTAAGACAAAAGTACTTATACATAAGGTGTAGGTATAATATATGCTTCGCACGCAATACTAAGACATGGGGCACTTACATTCCCTCCTCCTGGGACATGCTTGATGTTGTCCTTGGAGCCGCAGCGGGAGGTCACATGGCTGAAGTCTAGCTTTTTGTGGACTATCTGAATCTATACAAAGCACAGAGGGCACAGAGTCACAGATTTACAAACAGAGTAGAGACTTAAGGTCTTAACACTGTTGAAGAATCTGAAAGAGTAAGGAAACTTCTTTAAAGTCAAACTATCTATACTACATCTTTACCACCTTACACTAATACCTTTGCATTCACTGCATAAATCTTTGCGTTATGTCAAAGTTTTGATGTCTTTACTATTATTCTACGACGAGTTAAGTAGATAGATATGCTTTTGCCTGGTACTGTAGGTGGTCATTTTTATACAGCCATAAAGAAAAACATCAAATCTCATGGAAATTAAACTACTGTACTAAGAAGTAGAGTAACCTTGCTCTCGATCACTGTACCTTGCCTCCACCGGGCTGGTACTTCATGTTGTCTGTGGAGCCGATCTTAGAGGACACATTTTTTAGATCAGGCAGGGGGGTGTTAGCGATTCGGTTGTTACGGGGTGCTCGCGGCACTGGAGGCTTCCTTGGTAATGGAACCTGCTTGGGAACAGGGGGTTTGGTGATGCGTGATGGGCGAGTGGTTGAGGTCCCATTGGTGGCTAGTGTGGCTGGGGCATTGGCATTCGCTGAGGAGGAGGTAGGGGTTGTCCTCGGCGGAGTTTTAGCTTTTTGGAGGAGGAAGGCATTAAAAACAGGAATTAAAAACAGAGACTTTAAGTTAAAGACATGGTTCTGTGAGCAAATCTGAGCTTAGAAAGCAACACAGAATATGGTGCAACTTAACAAGAAATTTGTCTTGTGGAATTAGACAGTTCAAGACTTTTCCCACATAATATGTTAAAAGTAAAATTGTTCACTGCAAAGCAATGATACATTTTGAAAAGAATACTTTGGTTAAACCACATGTCAAAACATGGTATGCTGGTTGTTGTAAGTTGACTTAACCATAAAATATTAATAAAACTTAAAAAAGGAAAAAAATGCACTTTTGGCATGTAGTGAATTTAGGCATTTAGGAATCTGTCATTTTTAACTTACGAAGTTAAGGTTGAATGTTATGGGTCAAGTTTAGTTGAGACTAACCAGAGGAACCCCGGGCAGTGCGGGTGTTGCTCTTGGTGCTGCCATTAAACTTTGGCACAGGGGGCTTCCGCTGGGGTGGAGCACCATTCTCTGGAGTCTGAAGAGAGAAAGAGCTCATGTAAGAGGTCTGGAGACGTAGCCTCGACATGGTGAAGTGGGTCAAAGAGTGGTCTAATTGCATGCTTGAAGGAGAGATGACATACTACTGCTGTTAGCATAGAGAGGGTTACTCCTGTTATCAGATGCCAAAGGCAGTCACCTGACAGACCATAGTCTCGATTTTGACCTAAATGGGTTTTTATCCAGACCAGATAGCACTGTGCACTGTAGACTTGCGCCTACCCACTATCATATACAGTGGCTTATGCTATGTGAAGACAAACATCAAAACAATTTATACAAAAATCTATTATTTTCACAGAAAATAATTTCTTAATGACTGTTTTTTTTAAATAACAAAATAAAGAATTGTTACACTTTCACTGTGCAGTTAATCTAAGTCATTTAAATGTACCCCTATATGGCTTGCACAATCTTTTTTTCAATTAAGAAAAATCTTTGCAATGACAAATGAAATATGCTACATTTTTAATGTCCAATTGTTTTTTTTTTCTTAAACACTTCCTTATAGTGGAAAATTGATTTGATCTGAGTTGCTTTCACTGCAAGCAAGCAGACTTTTACACATACTAGTTCACACCCAAATCACACCCAGACTTATTTCATGCTCACTATCATTCACATCCAAATTGCCACAGCTGGTCAGGGAAAAAAAAGTCTACTCACCTTTGCTTCGCGGGCAGAGGTGGTGCCAGAAAGTTTCTTAGTGCCACTGGTAGGGGTCGTTGTCTTGGATGCAGGGCCTTTTTTACTGGCTGAATTTTCTCCAGTGGAATGCGAGTTTGGTTTTGCTGAATTCTGTTTGTCTGCCTGCATATGATTACATGCCACAGCCACATGCAAACAGAACATTCAAAAAAGCACGCTAGCATAGATCACTCTTTTAAGTCATGGAAGGAAATGCTTGGTCAAACTAAATTTTAGCAATGGATAAAGTATTTCACCATTTATTAAGACCTACCTTAGCTTTGCTGTCAGGGCTGATCAGTTCTTTATTTCCATTAGCTGTAGTGGGTTTGACTGTCTCTTTACCAGCCTTCTCATTCTTCTCATTTTTGACCATCTTGTCTACCTTTTCACTGCCATTCTTCTTCTCTTCTTTCCCCTCATTGTTTGTTTTTTCAGCTTTCTCAACTTTCTCGTTCTTCTCAGGTTTATGGTCCTTTTTCTCTGCCTCTTGATTCTTGTCCAAACTCTCTTTCTTCATGGAGGTATCAATCTTCTCTGTCTTTTCAGGCTTGTCTGCTTTCCCAAGTGTGCTGGAACTATCCATCTTCGCAGTTGTATCCATCTTCTCTGTCTTGTCTTTAGCAGTGAAGCCTTCTTTCACTTGAAAAAGACAAGGGGTGTCATTAATAAAATGACCTTTTACAAAAGTTTTTGTGCATCAAAAAAATTATTAAAGATCCTGATCACACCACTTTCTCTCCCCTTACGTACCCATATCACTTAATATTTACAACTACTGTTACTAAAATAGATGCACAGTGTTATTTTATAGGTATTATTGGAGGAGGACTCCTTGATCGGTTGTAACTAGATGCAAGAAAGGTTCAAAAACCGATATTTGTTTGCACCAATGAAGATCTCAGAGAGGCCTGTCCTCATCGTGAAAGAAGAGATGTAGGTCACAGCAACCCCTGACAGGTACAGCTTACATCTGCATTTCCCCTCTGCTATGTCAAAGCAGGAAATATGCTGTTGGTAGGCAATGTCTCAGCAGCTTTTCCTCTCCACTGCACGTATGTCATTGCTAACAAGTATTCAGCTAAATAAATACCAGGGCAGTAGTTTACTGAAAGTAGTAGATGATCAAACAAAAGATTATTTACTTTAAATTACAAACCAGACCTCTCAAAGACTATTGGCTGTCTGCAAATGATATATATTCATTTCAAAAATATTAATTCCAAGCTGTGTTTGTTGAAGATGACTGATGTTATTACATGTCATCTAGACTGGAATAATAATTTCATTTCACATGAACGGAATATTATACATTTGTTTGTAAGGTCTAGGACCCATGTGTCAAACACAAGGCCTGCGGGCCAGATCAGGCCTACGATGCAATCTTATCTGGCCTATTTTAATTCTCAATTAATTTTAGCCCATTTTACAATGCCCTGCACTACGGTCCCCAGCATGCACTGCAGCGTAATGTGCGCTCTGACTCTCCTACCCCAACAACAATATATGGGACAGCAGTTACACCTCAATTCTACACAGTTCTATGCAATTCCACACCAAACACACTATTTGGTGCATTTCAGGTGCAGTTTAACTGATATAAACTCCTAACGTCAGCTCAGAAATTGAGTCCAAGTCTTACTGAACTTGCAGCAAAGAAAGGATGCCAGGTGTCTAGTTTAAGCAAATAGGCAGGTTTAAAAGACTGAGCTCCTGGGAACATTTAAATTTTGATTACAGGTATTCATGTAATATTTCAAGGTCTACTGCAAGTGTCTGTATTTTGAATAAACAATGTCCAGTTTGGGTTATAGCAGAACATTAATTAAAAATTAAATAGTGCCTGAGTTTGATACCCTGGTCTTGTGACAAGTGAACCATGGCAGTTCATGAAACTAGCATTCGTACTGTTCGACTATGAAACTCTATATGTCTAAAAGTTTTTAAACGCTGTTTGTGCAGTTGAACACCTGTGTCAGCAATGAGTGCACCTAAAGTAGCTCACTGATCAGAAGGAGTGTCTGGCTACTTTTTGCACATATAGAGTATGTTCATGTTCATAAATTCATAATAGCAACATGTCCATATCCTTGGAGCTATGACTCAGCACTACTGGTTATCAGCCCTTTCAGTTTCTATTTCTGTTGGGACACTGCAGTTGGTATTTTGGGTGCTAAAGGTTAGAAAATATTAATGATGTTCTCAGCATCTTAGTTCCTCCTTGAAAATTTCAGCCCACAGTTGCAGTTGTGTCATCGCTAATCTGAATATTAAATGACTCTACTTGGTTGGCTGAAGCACCCCTCCCACTTCCAACTTCACTCAAACAAATCAGTGTGTGTCATCATTGATAGAGTGGTGTTTGGACCTCTACACATCTTTGCATAAGCTGTTTTACAACAACTGCAGTGTCAATAAGCAAGAAAAGCAGTATATACTAGTATACTGGCAACAAAGTTTAATTGATTTAGCAGTTGTGCATGCACTTTCAACTTGCTAGTTTGACAGTATTATGCTTTTTGCACAGTGAGTGCCATCTATGGACATCTATCATAAGGGTAAAACACTAAATCTGAGCATAGTTGCTATAAGGTGTTAACATGACATGCAGAAAGCACCCCCAGTAGTTTGATCAGGCAAAGATGCAAATGTATTACAATTAAATATTCATTTATCGTTAAGCATCATTAAGGTGCTTCCTTTTTCTGAATGTTGCTCATTTATGATTTGCTTTTGTGACAGAACATTTTAAAGACATCACACTCAACTTTTCAATTGTAAGATAAAATCACTATTTTCTTGGTGTTCCATGTTATAGAGTTATATAAAATGAAAGACAGAGATGTCTTACCTGTTTTACGTCCAGGGTTCATCAGTCAGTGTCGTACATAAACAGAAAGTGAAAAGAAAAGAGTTTGCATTAATAATAAATGTGCTATACTTATTATTTTGCTATTAATACATCCAGATGTCCAGTAGTCATTGAGGAAAAAAATCAACCATTTGAGCAGATTCTCAGATTAGAAGTCAACTGGCAGAGCTGTAGATTTATATTATGAAAACAGTTCTAGATGAGAGAAAGTCTTGAGCAGAGCATGAGTATATTTAAAATGTAACAGCAAGTTTGCAAGAAGATTGGCCTACAATATGACACTGTCATCAACCCATACACACATAATCACACAGCTCATGAGAGCCACGCAAAGGTAAAGGATCAGTGCACTCTGGGAGATGCTGCGAGAAAAAGAGGCCTGCTGTTATCCAGAAAAAGAGCCAATAAACAATTACATTCTTTTGATTGATGCAATGCAAAGCAATCAGTGTGTTAAGACAGCACTGACAGTTTAATACATGCAGGGAGGATCAGAGAGTATATGGCACAGGGAGAGTTTACTATGGGATATCCAGTCACAGTAAATTCCCAAAGAGAACACTTTTATTTACTTTTAAAAGAGGGGTTAAATATGAATAACAGTAACTCAGCCAATCTGGGGCACTGGGACTCAATTAAACAGCTCTTGTGCAGCACTGTGTTAACTTTGCTCACTGGATACATCGGTGGGAGGTCAGCAATTCAAATTATGTTCACCCATAGTAACATACCGCATTTCTCTCACACAGATGTTTCTGTTGCAGACTGTCTATCTTTAATTCATCTTCGTTGGTAGTTTTATTATATGTTTTCTAAGTTTCTCATGGCTGCAGCAATTATCTATTCTCTAAATACTGTCACTTGGAGATCTGTTAATCATACATAAATATTCCAGTTTATGTTTTATGTGGTAATGTTGCTAATTTTTCAGAACAGACAACAGCATGTATAGACTATAGCAGTGGTCACCAACGCTCCTCCTGGAGATCCCCTCCTGTAGGTTTCACCTCCAACCAAAAACTAATGCACAATCAACTAATCAAGGACTTTTGAAGGCATTAATTAGATAGAGGTGGATCTTCAGAAACAGGGTTGGAGACCTCTGGACTATAGCATTTCCCCTAGATTTTTTTTAGACCGGGCGGTAGACCCTCTAAAGCTACCAGTGTTGTCATGGTATCACCAAATAGGTGCAGGACTGAAGTAGTATCATTGTGCAGAATAATAAATTGTGAATAAACTGTACATGTAAATACACAATTTTTACACTCTCTGCACACTTACTTTCAAGAAGTGAAAATGTAAATAATTTATTGCGAGTTAAAGTCAGTTCATTTATATCCGAAAAGTTAACATGCAACTAAATGCTTTGCATTTTATACTGTGCCAAAGAATAGTTTTCATATATTTCTATAGAAAAAAGGGTTAACCGATCCTTAAACCAACACTAAATACTGTTTGGAGAGTGAAGTCTATTAGGAGGCCCTGATAGACCTGCTTTTGATTATAAGGACTTACAGAATGCTACAGAACATTGACTACTTGTGTCTGTTACCATCTAGAGAGGATGGTTCTCATTAGTTTCCTCAATGGTAAAACAGGAAAATAGAAACACCATGCTTCAGTTTCACGTCTTTCTAGTACCACTGTTTGAACACCATATTTCAATAGAACCTTTCGAAACTAATATTTCGTTCTGCAGAATTTATATTTAAGGAGCAAGACATTCAGCGATTGAAGTCTACTTTGACCTACTTTGAAACCTAACACTAGATGTTGCTCCTTTGGAACTAACCAGCTTGCCTCTGCCACACACTGCTATATCGTACTGCTGTATCAGTCAGATCGGAACAGCAGCGGACTTTATTTTGGCCAAAAAATGAAATTGTACCACATAAAAAAACTGAATGCTAGGAAGCAACCTGCTGCAGTAATCTGAAAATTAAATGCCTCCACTTCGTTGGCTGAAGCACACCTCTCACTTTCAACTTCACTCAAACAAATTAGTGTGTGTCACCATTGATAGGGTGGTGTTTTGGGACTCTTTACATCTTTACATAAGCTATTTTTCAACAACTGTACTGACAATAAGCAAGAAAAGCACTATACACTAGTATAATGGCAACAAAGTTTAACTGATGTAGCAGTCGTGCATGCATTTTTATGTGCATGCACATAATAACTTAATACTAGGAAACAAACTTTAACCTGCTGGTTGCAACCCAATGTTTTTATCTCATCCAAGATGGGAGGGACGTGGGTTTGGCATGGCAGGCTGCCCAGCCTTATGAACTGTATGGGAAACACTGTAGCTGAGCTGGAGTAGCATTGCTTATGTCATGAAGTGTCTGTTAAATCATGCAGACATAGTCTGCATCCTAGAATATTTTCCTTGTCTTTTATTCTGTCTTCCTTGGCACATCAATCAAAGGTCCTAAGTTAGCTCAATTTGGTTGATACACTTTTCTGCAAGATCTCACCTACGCTGAAAGAGGTGTACTAGACTTTGGTCGGAGGTGAAATCTATAGGTGGTGGTAAAATCTTGCAGAACAGTGTATTAAATCTTCTACAACTTGACCCAACTCCAAAGTAGATAACAGAGTGATGCAAGGCAGGGTTTTAAGTGCAAATCACCCTCCAAACATGTTCAAATGTCCTCTTAAATTCTACAGTGTGCAAGGAGACCGACAGAAAAGTAACAGTTACTATCAATATAAGTTCATCAATCAGTTAAAAAAGTTAGTTCAAAGTAGTTATCTGTATTATTTTATATAATGCAGAAGTATAGTATAATATCCTGATCTCAAAAAACTCAGTGTTACTGATGAGTGAATGATGTTTGAAGGACGTTTGAATTAAAGATGACTTTATGACATGCTTTAAGGACTCCAGTCTGAACAATGTTCATGTAAGTTAACAACAGCCTGCTGTAAGTGAACACACTTTGTAACAAAGCGTGGCTCAGTGCTGCATGAGAGAAGCTTGTTTATTTGTGTCCAGCTGGGGATTTTGTTGTGTGTTGTCATCTGAGTTTAAACCGACTTTCATGGAAAATTGCTCTACAGTAAGTTACTGTGACCTACAATGGGTGTGGTATCTCAGTACAGACATAGCTAAGCGGAAGAAGGCCCACTCCACTGAGCCATGCATTAAGGAAATCATCTCCATATATTCTTCTGTATCACCAACCTTGCAGTTGGGGGGACTTTGTCAGCGGTGGCTCCTGGTGCTTTGTGAGTGAGGTGAGGGAAGCCGAAGCTGGAGGGTTTTGGCTTACTACAGTGCTGGAGGTGACTGGAAGGGAGGGGGCGGGGTCAGACATAGTGGAAATGTTCAGGGAGGTAGTGCTGGTCTGTGGGCTAGGGATGGAACCTACACTAGTTTTAAAGCCAGAGGTGAAATCTGGGGCTGTATGTGAGGAGCCAGTTACTACTGGGGTGCTTTGGGAAGGGTCTGAAATCGTAGATGGTGAGATAACATTTGTCTGACTTGCAGTTGGGGTAACTGATTGAACTGTGGTTGTAAGAGATGAAGCATCTGGTGTCATAGAAGGTGGTGCACTCCCTTGTTCATTGCTAGTGGTAGAAGCAGTACAAACGTCCATGTCTGTGACCACAGAGGGACTTGGGCCAGGTGGAGGAGATGGACTGCTGGTATTTGCCATGGTGGCCCACTCTTCAGGGAGCTTTGTTCTGCTCTTGCTTTTTTTGGCTTGGATCCGGCCTCCACCCCACTCTCGAATCTCGCTCTTCCAGCTTTCCCCTGGACTTGGGGGTGAAGAGCCTTCCTGGTCAGTGCTTTTTGATAGAGTTTTCTCAGGAGACCGGAGGCTTTCCAAGAGACCGTGCACCTCTTCCGTATCATCACATTTTTTCTTCCTCTTCTGCTGGCCTCCTTCATTTGACTCTTTCTCAGATGTAGCATCTTGATCCTGATATCCTTGGATACCCAAAGGCTTAGTGGGATTCTGCTCTGGTTTGTTGGGGGAATGGGACAGCTCTGTGGAGAGCTTGTCCTCACCTGTCCAAGGGTTTCCCCAAACTTTGTGGTGTACAGAGAGGAAGAGGAAGTGTCATTTTCTACCATGCATATCAATTGTGAACAAAGGTCATCAAAAATGCATCACCAACACATAAAGGCCTGAGAAGCACTGGACTGGGAATCTATCATCACTTGCACCACAGAGAAAAAACCTGACAAGACAAATCTGACACCACTTTTGCTACTCAATGGACAAATTAGAGATTTGCATTTTTTAGGCTTGACTGTATCATAATGCAAGATAAAAGAGCAAACAAGCAAAATAATCAGAAGATAATATAAATGAATCAAAGCTGTAGAGACCAGCTGACTGGGAATGTAGAAACAAATGGCAGTTTCCAACTTAAAGCTCCCCTAAATATTTCTGCTTGACAGACAGTGCTGTAGCTCAGGGCCTATGAGTCTTCTATATACAAAAGCCCAAAAAAGCAGGCCACTCTTTGGCCAGTTAATGCATTTGCTGGTGACATTTTCCACACAGGTGCACAATTTTCAGAAAAAAACTTTTTCCTCAGCAGCACCGAAGGCCTTCTTAAAACATCTGTGTTAAATATCAGGGTGTAGACTCTCCATTCTGACTGGTTTAAAGAGGTACTCACATGCATACACAGTATTTTGTTCACTTCCTTTCATGAAAGAGCACTCAATTTCATCACACATGTCCATGTTACATTTCACAGAGAATAGTGACAAGGAATTGAAGCTCTTACGGGAAAAATATTATAAATACTAATTTTATTGACCTAGTGTTTAAAATAAAAAAGGGCTCTTCTTGAAAATTATAGGCATTTGGGGAATATTACTTAATCTGATCATTTAGAAATGATATCTTGTCAAAACAGCAGAGTAATTACTTACTGATTAACAATATAAATCAGCTGTCACCTAGATTTAAAGCTGAAGAAGCACACTTACAAGTAAAAGGCATGTGTATTCAGGCAAATGCTGATCAGGCATTGTGTATGTATTTTTTAATTGTTTTATTTTTTTTTTTGACAATTCACCTTTCTGCTTTTTACTATGCAGTTTTAAAATAGTATAGGCTAGGTGTATATTCAGTGGGTGTTACTAACTAAATATTTGTGAACTGGCACGCACCAGAAGACCAGAATGCCTTAGGAGGTATATAAAGAACACTGCACTGTGAGACACACCTGTTTATTATCCAGGATCTTAAACCACTACCAGATCCCATCTCAAACCACTGGCATTCCTAAAGTCTTTAGAGGTTGTTCAAGCCTGAGAACGCAGGGTGATGGCTGTCTACTTTGCACTATTATTATTCATCTGTACATGCGTATTGTTATAGGTTAGCTGTACCAGAATCTCTAGTTCACTTTACTCTTTTTGAATACATTTGCTTCATACTGCAAGTGCATTATAGAGGAAGGTTCATTTGAGATAATGTTCAAAATAGAAAATGTATTTTGATCAACTGCACTTTTATTAATTAAAAGGAAAAAAGAAAAGAAAGTAAATTAAATATCTTAAACACAACAAAGACAGAACATAACTGAAATATTCTACCATCATTCTGACTAAGCTGTCCTCAGTGTGGTGTGGTTAGCATTTTGACTGGTCACTCCGAAACAAGAAACTGACCACACACCTTAGTTAATAAGTTAACATGATCCTGTTGTGTTGTTTACAAGAGCACTATGACCTGCATTATAATTAGAGATAATGAAAAGTGTTGATAGTTAATAGTTAACGTCTGTCTTACCTGCACAAGTCTGCAGTGAGGTGTGTTAAGTAGAGTTGAACTTTACCTGCAGAGGTGTCCGAGGTGTTAAGAGGGCTTGTGTCAGAAGGTTTACTCGGTGGCTGGAGTGGTTTGGGTGGTTCATTGGCATGCAGAGTAGATGTCTTCTGAGGTTCAGCCAAGCTGGGAGGTTTAGAGGACTGGAACGGGGCCATGCCCACATTCATATTAGCACTCATATTCATTGCTGGCTGGGAGAACCCTGCAAAGCATAACAGCGGAAATATAGTGCATGAGGTTTCAGGAGATAAATGACATGACAGGCATCAGCATTATCACAGTAGTAACCTGTAAAAGTGTCCATACTGTTGTCCTTGAGCCCCGTTTGCTGATTCGCTGGTCCTGCCGCTCAGCTAGGAGGTTTGGAGGCTGGACTGATCTTTCTTTCATTATAAATAGGGGCACTCAAAGTTTGACATGAGATACTGGGGCCACTGCCAAGAGCACCACGGTGTGCCATAGGTGCAACTGCGATGACTGAACATTATAAAGTTGATGTGTACTTCAATGACAGCACATTCAAACTAATAAAACAAATGGTAGCTTTATCACAGACACAAACCAAAAGTACTAGAGGAGACTAAATAAAGAAGTCATACAGTACTGTTCAAAAGTCAGAGAGCTTCCTTTCATTTATTACATTTCTGGTCAAAGCTGCCATTAATTGCAAGTTATTAATTTTTCTGCATCCAGAAGAAATCACAAAATATACCTTTGCTGTCCAAAAAAAAACATGTATCTCCAAAATAGTAACTTTACAGCAGAAGGCAAAAACATTGAATGGAGCAATAAAAATGCCTCAAGATTACTTAGAATAAAACATCTTTACATTAACGTAAATTAAAAGAGGTTTTATTCCAAGTAATTCTGAAGCATTTCTATTGCTCCATTCATCATGTATGTAAAAGATCAACACACAATGTAAAAGACAGTTACAGGGTTCAAATGATGTAGATAAATCAACAAAATTGGAGATACAATTTTTTTTGTTCGTTTGTTTTTGGACAGAAATAACATATTTAATAGAAAAGTACTCAGAAGTCTCAACAACTAAATATAATATTAAGTGTGTCCACCCTTTGCTTTTATTACAGCTGCTATTCTTTTTGGGAGACCTGCTCTTAGTTTTTCAAATAAATTTGCAGGGATATTTTTCTGTACTTCCTGTAAACACCTCCAAATTTCAGTTTTAGAAGTTGGTTAAATTTTCGGCTTCTGATGATCCAGATAATCCCAATTACAAATTTAGATTCATCAATTCACCTCACACATCTCAGAGGAAGCATGTGCTAGTTTTCACCCTCCCAGTTTGGTAGTATCGTAAAATTGGGGGGAAAATATTCTTTTTTGTCTATTTCTTTTTTTCAGTAATGGTTTCTGGACAGCAGTGCATCCTGTCAGACTCATAGTGTTGTCTTCTCACAGTAGAAGGATGTACAGAAACAAGTGTAGATTTTCCAGATCTGAAGCAGGAGTGGAGCTTGATTTTCTCCTCTCTCTCAAAGATAAAGGCTTTAAGTACTGTGACAGTTGTAGTCTGCCACATCTTGCAAAGTTTTATTGTTTTGTCATTTATTTTCTTTTGACTTTCCCCTTTTTATGCAAGTTGATTATTTTAGATCTTTATGCATTATTTTATATTTTATATCTCCTCAGAAATATCTCCTTTAGCCATGTTAGATGCACATGAGAAAGAAATCTGCAAGGCAGCTAAGGTGTGTTTGGGTAGTTGTGTGCGTGAATGTTAGCGTCTGTTTGAAGGGAACTAACCTTTAGGAACAGCTTTTGTTGGAAGAACACAGCTGTAGCTCATTGATTTTAAGACTGGAAGAATGGAAGAGTTAAAGTCACAGTAGGGTGCAGAAGTGAAGAGTGGACCAATTAAATGCTGATAGATGTTATAATTAGAGTTGGAGCCTTCTGTGTAATTTTCTGTTAAATGTATGTTTCTTGCTTTTTTTCTGACTCTGAAAAATGAAAAACTTGCACTTAATGGCTGTTTTGACTGGAAATAAAATAAAGGAAAGGGTGGTCTCTGACTTTTCACAGTACTGTTTGTATTTACATTGAAATGTTACATTTTATTCATTTATACTTTAGATCAGTTTCACAGGCCGATTATATGCCCATGACAAATTAGCATAATTTGACTTCTGTTAAGAAATAGCAAAGTTATTATAACAGTAATATATATTATATAAGTTACAACAGGCTATTTAGGAAAATACCTATTCCTCAGTTAAGATAATAATTAAAATATCATCATCTACCAGGCTGTCATTATTGTTTTTTTGTATTGAGTCTTAGCCTGTCAAAAATAATCATTAAGCAAGATTCAGAAAATATAATTCACTGAACTGAACTTACTGAACAACCATTACTTTCTCTTATACTCAAAGAACATTTGCTGTCAAAAGCTTTTCCTAGACAGATGTGCCACAGTTGGCCTCACCTGATACGTCAGTGCTGAAGAGCGTTTTTTCAGGTGCCCCAGGGCGGCTTGCTCCTAGGAAACCCTGAAACTGGCTCCCAGTCTGCCCCCCAGGCATTCCAGAAAGGAATCCAGACCCTGGGAAGGCTGAGACAAGAGAAATCACACTGAGTTTTGTCATTTTGTTAATGGCAGAATGAGAGTAAATGGTATTTCCTTTCAGGTCCAGTCAGATGGCTAAGTTCATGAAGTGTGACAGAGTCTGGTTTAATGTCAATGGCAGGTGGGAGAGTCTGTTCCTGAAACAGTCCAGCCTCATCCATAGTCCTAATCAGGTATAATGAGAGGGCTAGTCATAGACGACTGATGCTGAACAGAAGAGACAGGCAGAGAGTGTGGGCCTATTACCATGGTTACACAACCAGCTGTGACCATCCCCGATCCTAGCAGCAAACAAGTAATTGAGATGAGGAATGAGAACGCATTGAGCTCCATCCACATGGTTCATTAAATACGTTATGTTAAAAAATAATACATTTTGAAAATGTATCATTCAGTTTTTTTAGCTTGTGCTCTGTAGTACACTGTATGTAATCTACAGCTTTAGTGTACAGACTTAATACATCTGCACTGATGATTATTTATAATAAGAATGTCTCAAATGTAAATAGCTTTGTGCATTGTATGTCAAAGCCCTTGTGTTGTTGCACACTCTGTTCCCCATTGCTTTATCGTGGCTTTTTGACTAACACAGAGTCATCCAATAATAAAAGTTCCCAAAACTTTATATTTTTTGATGGTCTAACAAAGTGTTCATACAGTGTAGCTGTTGGCTAACATAACATGCTGTCTAGGAAGCACTCCATATAAATGCCAGTAAATTATTTTTAGAAAACAAAATGTTGAGACTTTTCAAAAAAGAGTAGAATGTATTGCATAAGGTTCAAGCTCACCTTCGCTCTTCCCATCTGTCCTCTCACCAGCTTTGTTGTCAATGCTCTTTGCCTCTGGACTAGCCACAAAGTCTTTCTTCAGCAGGCTGTCCTGGCCTGGCTTGGGAGCCCCGCATGCATTATTATCACGGAAGCTAAAGTCCATTCTCCTGAACTAAAGGAGAACCACAGAGAGAGCCAGTCAGACAAAACAAAGGGTGCACCCATCTGCTCAGCTTTGGTAGACCGAGAGTTGAAACTATTAGTTAAAAGATATGTTTCGACAGCATTTTTATACAAAATTATTGTCTTTTTCCAAAGTAATGACAAACTGCCAGCTATTATTGACAATTGTTGTTTACAAATAACTCAATAAAAACAGATCAGTCACAGTCAGCAAGTGTATTCTGATAATATAAGACTGTAACATTGCCATATGTAGAGAGCAACTAGTACTTGGTTGTATAAAAGCATTGTTCTAAGGAAATAAATTCTAAGCAAGGCAGGCAGAATTCTTTTCACTAGCTAAGCATTCACGTTACAACACAATAGAGGACAGACAGCAAACAAAGTTTATATTCTCTTTGATCACATGGGTTTTGTGTTATGTGCAGCATATGAGAATGGCTCTCTGAGTCCAAATGGAAATGAAAGTAAGACAGATGTCTGTTTCCAACTCCAGGAAACATTATAATGCAGAATAAAAGACACAAGCACCGTTTAATAGCAAGTATTTGTGTGTAAGTTTGTCCTGCCCTTCAATGGGATGTCTCAATATCACAACATAAAAGAATAGCAATTAGAGATGGCACTGAGCTCATACACGGTATCGGGCTGATATCAGCAGAACATGCTGAATTGGCTATTAGAAGGAAAAAAAGAACGAATTCAGTTTAATCCTGTAACAAATCTAGCCTGAAATAATGCACACTTTCATTGTGTGATGTGATGATGTTAGCTGTGCATCCTTCCTGTGGGATGGTAGAGTGAGTAGTTTGAGCATTTAGATAGCCATCTTTAGTTAAGTGCTTCAGTTAAAAATAGCCCATTTTAAAGCTAAGTAGTTTTTAATGGAAGAATATCAGCTCTGTATTGGCTCAAGATTTCAATATCAGTACCAGTATCAGGAAACAGTGGTATTGTAGAGTTTCTTGACATGTAGGCCCTTTAATACATCCAAGGATTAAAGGGGAATTCTACAGGACCAGCTAGTTCAATATGTAAACAAAGCCATTTAGCCTGGTTTAATGTGAAATAATCCAGTCTAGAGGAACCTGAATCAGAATTGCTCACAGTAATGGTAAAAGGAACCAGACACCTGAAGACTTTAATGCCCATAAATGCTGCGTCACAGGCAGTTGTTATATAAAATGGTTACAAATAAATTGCCTGATGCCTGAGACACTGTTTTACCACAGTTGTAATAATAAAGTTATAATTGGCCTAAAGCATATTTTTAAAATCCAGAGACATACACGGAGGGCGTTGGGATTGAAAAAAGTCCCCATAGAAAATGGATTTTTTTTCAGTTTACTACTATTTTAGCATTATAAACATATAACAATCAGAAGACGTACGCTGGTTTACAGCTCATTCTGGACAGTAAATAAAACATGCATATTTGTGTTGTGACCCCTGGTTCCTATCACCACCATTATAAAGAAATCAGAGTTGGCAACCTTCTCTACAAAAACCATTCCATTTCAAACCACTCTGAATGAGGTTTGTTTACATCTCAACGGCTGAATTATGCAGAAATTTAGAGAAATAGGTGGAGTTCCCCTTTAAGGCATGGCACAATACAAGCCACCAAAACAAGTCCTAGAAAAGTGACAGTTTGAGCGTTAATGTGATTGCAGGTAGCAGCTTTGGGGGGCTAGAAAAGCTGTCTTGGTTGTCAATGTCAGACGAGGATGTCCGCTCTGTCTCGTCGTCTTTTTTTGTGGCGCAATTTCTGCCTCTGACGTCACACACACACGCGCACACACACACGCGCGCGCACAGGCCTCTTCACTGTGGTATGACTGGATGGGCACTGGTGGCGCAGCACAGGCCTGCTGGCCCCACACCGCATCACTCACATGGCACCTGTACACACATCACCCATCAATAATAATAATAATAATAAAATGAACAGGACAGCCCCACACATCTAATATTCCCCTGAGCAACCGGGAAAACAACATATATGCGCTATTCATAATCATTACCCTGTTCATTAATTATTAATCAGTGTCCTCGCCAACTGCAGTTCTCCCTGCTCCGTCTAACAACACACACCGCTCCGTCAGTGAGGCTGAATGACTGAATGAGGGACTCGGACCGTGTAAACAGCGACTGATTGTTGACTGACTGTAACACGCCCCAGTATTTGCCATTTTCTATGCTCCCTTCATCGCGCTCCAGCAGCTCTGAGCGTCGATCAGTCTGCTCCGGACTGCCTCATTAGCACAGACACTCACCTACGGACTAGTACGAGTTTTAAAGGCTCACTCACCGCTGTAGGCTTTTCAGACTGGGATGATGAGGTTGTCCCCGTTCGCCGTCAGATCCTCCTTGGAGTACAGTGCGTCTGTATGACCGCAGACACAAACACGCACACGCACAAACACCCCGCCCCTTCACTAGGCTCGACCAATCACAGCTGGCCAATCTCGCCCGCCACTCTGAGCCCCTCGTCTCATCACTGAGGCTGCATGAAAGCAGCTCCTGGTCCTCAGCCTCGTTATCGTGAATCTCTCGTTATCGTGAATCTCTCGCCACGTTCTCTCATAAACAGCAGACAGTTGCTTACAGTTTGGTTCTCTGCGCTTTGATGTGGAGGAGAGGTGGGCGTGGCAGCGCTGATGGGCGTGGCCTTTCGCAGTGTCAGGCCCGCTTAGCCTATCAGACAACGCAGGCACATGAAGCTGAGCCACACTGACCCATTCGCTGCTCTGTGGACCTGACAGATCTGGAATGTTCCTCAAAACGAGGAATTGAGCTGCTGTCAGCTGCTGTTAAAAATAACACTGCTGGAGGTCGCTTGTTCAGCGAAAGGGCTTAATAACGTAGATATTTATTTATGTTAAGTAGGTAGATTCTCCTCCTCCAGTGTACCAATTAAGCTGTTTTTTACTAACACTGTAAATCGATCCACATCACCTTCATTTATGCACAGCAATAAAACTTAGCGAGCATGACAAATATGGATGTCGAAATCATGGATTTCAAAGCTAATGGAAAAACAAGCAGGTCACTGAAATAGAGGTTAATTTCCTGGTTAGAAAGGCAAAGCATTGTAAATTGCAGCTGCCTTTCTGACACCAGATTGTCAGTTTTCCCCTCTGGCTTGCTCAGTGGTTAAACTCACTTGACATAAAGGATGTAGTTTAAGTGGTGTTTGTGGGTGTGTGGGTGTCAAGGGCACCTCTGCTGAGGTTCAAGTGCCCCAGTCCTTGGTAAATGTGCATAGTAATCTGACTTGATTATGCATGAATACATACAATACATGCAAATTATACTGTACATCAAACCTGTGCTTATAACTGATAATATAACTGTGCACAATGCAGTTACATCAAATGGAATGGCAGATATTTAGGATTTGCTGTAATTGTGTCAGTTTAGCTGTGGTTGTTCTCAGATTGTGAGGGGTCAGGGTCAGTTTTAGATACTCAAAGCTTCCCAAGTTATTTTCCATCAGCAGAAATAAGGCAGTGCTGAGTAGAGATCCCCCACCCATATATATATATACATATAAACAAAGCACATGTGAAGCTATTTGCTAGAAAATCACCCTCATTCTTCGTTCAACAGAGCTTTAAAAACCATCATTAGATTTATCACACTGTGATCTGATATCTGTCAAAGTTGGTCACAATAAATCTTAAATGTTAATAGAGCAGGGTGTGAGATTTGTCTCTACTTGATCATTTAGAAAATCATAACAGGAACAACACTAACAGACTACAGAAACCAACTGACTATAAGCTGTCTTCTCCCAAACATGGTCATGAACGTGGTCATACTCACTGTCTTTGACCTCTTAAGCTCTCACGTCACAGGGCACAGCATTGCCAATAGCTTGACTTTCATGAAGACCCAAGTCACAGTGAGTCACCAACTGGGCAAATGTAGACACATTCATACATATTTTACACACAACACAGTACCTCATCAGAGAGATGAACCATTTACTCAAAATCGGCACGCATGCCATGTAAGACTACAATAAACACTTTGACCATTTAATTAATTTATTTGGCAAGAATACCAAACAAATGGGATGACAGAGTGGTTTACAAGTAGCTACTCCACAAGAGTTTCCCAGGAATTGTACTTAGTATTTCTCAGCAATCACTTTTGCTTGAGCATTTTTCAGTTTTTCTTCAAACTTTATGTATAGTTAGTTGTAACCTGAAAAATAATATTGGATTCCATATCAATGATTTAATCTTTGTAAATGTTTAAGTACAGAATCAGCTTTTTTTTACAGACTCTTCATAATATATTTGAATCCAGGTTATGGATGCTGATCCAAGTGAAGAAAATAATTGCCATATCACTGACCAGCAAAAGATTAATGTAAATGTACAGGGGTGGACAAAATAATGACAACGCCTAACCAATGTCTAATAAGGAGCATGCTTGCCTTCAGAACTGCTTTAAATATTCTCAGAATGCCATCAAGCAATCCTAAAACACATAGAGAAGCATACATATTGGGAGATTAAACTAAACTGGGAACTTTGGTTGCATGTTTAACAAATTAATATAAACTACAGAATGATAACTTCTATTTCTAGGTATTTTTTCCATACTGTATGTTAGAGCAATGTCATCTGATACATTTAGTTCCCTATTTTTAGTTGAGTATAAATACTGGGACAAAGGAAGTTGCTAACTGCTCGAGAGTTTAGTTTTCTCTTGTTGTATAAATAAAAGAGCTGTGACTAAGAGAACTGACTATGAGCTGTGAAAAGAGAACTGAATATGACAGAAAAGGAAGCAGTTTTGAAGATGAGATTCAGTTGGGCAACTGGATCAACTGGACACTGTCATGGAATGAGAAAGAAACTGCTTATTTCTTTAAGAGTTAGTTTGGGGTTTTCCTTTATGATTCTATAGATTTTTTGCCATTGGTCTTAGGGCTGGGCAGTATGACAGTATATATTGTTATTGTGATAAATTATGTCACAATACAATACAATATGCTTTTATGAACATATAATGGATATCGTCAGTATGTGCAGAACATGTAGAGCATGTTTCATTATAAAGAAAGCAAAATTAATCCTGTTTAACTGGATCTACTGCAACACAGTATGCCACATGTTGAATGAAAATCATTGTGTTCACAGTTTTTGATAGTGTTTTTTTATTTTAAATGTAGCACTACTGGTTCTTTTTCCTCTGTTCCAACTGATCAAATGTCAAAAAAATAAATAAATAAATGTCATGACATATTGTGTATCGTGACAATTTCTTGAAGTATCATGATATATTTTTGCCATCTCGCCCACCTCTAGTCTGTCTTAGATGAATCACAAATTTATCACTCTTTTAGCAGTTTCTTTCTTCTTCTTTCTTGTTTCTGTTATTTTGTCCACCACCTGTATCTTACTTCTAAAAGTAAGATTTTATTGTGGGTTACATTTTTATTTGTAAATAAGTCAGTTCCTGGGGGAGCGTATCTGTTGGCTCTTTATGTAAATTTTCTACTTGAATAGAACATTTCAGTAGTCTTTCCATCACAGCTTGTTAGCTATAGTTCAAGAGATATCTACAGTTCTCAGTCTGTAACTATTCAATAAACACTCCTATTTTAATTTCTATAGTACATCAGACTAGATCATTTAGTACACTTTTACATCCTAAGCTATACTATATCTTGTAAAAGAAATGGCTTAATGTTGCAGTGGTCTAAGCTACTATTCATTTAAGTACATGTTTTACTTATGCACAGAGAAAATGAGGCATGAACCAATTAAAATTTTCTTAGATATTTTTCATCACATCCTTCGTTTCTGTAAATTTAGTCATAAGATGGTTCATTTTAACTGCATTCACAACATCATTTACCACAGGAGTTACTCAGTATGAGTATTTTGACACAACTAGACCAGTGTGCTTTTCTTTTACTACCTGAGTTAGACTCAAAGCACATTGCATTGTCAGAAAAAGGTTTACCGTACTTTGAGGGACAATATTGCTGTGTCTAGAAAATGGACAGTTATGAGTACCACATGTAAAAATATTGGCAAACTGTTAAGTTCATAACATTCACTCATACCAGTTAATGTAAAGGAGCTCTTTCCCCTAAAATAAAAACAAAAGTTGACACTGATATTAAGCAGGGACTGAACCATAAAACAACGACAACACTAGGAATTGTTAGACCGGCTAACACAAACAGTTTATCCAACACTGGGAACATCAGTCGTTTCTTTACGTTACACAGTAATTCCTGATGTAGTCCATGTAAAACTAAAACATAGCAGCTTCCAAACTATCACACTCCCACTGATCATGCCAGTAAGAGTCAATTCTTTTTCAGTGTGAAAATGAAGTAAATACCCTGTGCTTAACATCCAGGATCAGAGGCATGTCTCTGCTGAATTGAGGAGCACTTCTCCATTGGGTGTGGCCCTTGCAAAGAAAGCCGTCTTCCACATTCAGAAGGCATCAAATCTAGCCTCAGTCCAGCATATTGATGGCTAGTAGATTCATGGAAGCTCCTTCCAAGGGTAGAATTCACTAGAAGACCAGTCATTGGCTGTCTGTCAGGGTGAGTGCTCATGACATGGGAGATCCTCTCAGGGCTACTGGTAGTGCTCAATGGCCCTGTGTCTGCTCTTTGGATGTGTGGGTCAAGCACTAAACTCTCAGGAGAGGAGTCCAGTGGACAGTCCAACAGCTGGAGCTCCTCAGTACCCTGCAGTGACTCACAAGACTTTGCAGAAATGTCACCAACGTCCTTAGGATCAAGTATCTAGGAAAAATAAGAAAAGACAAGAAGGATTAACCCTGTAAACTGTGAGTGCCCGTATGCCCCACACCTAACTTCCTCACTTTTATAACAACATAAATTACAAATAATTTCATAGTAGTTGCTGAATCACTAATAACTGAATGATAAGCCTGCAGTTTAAAGGACTGAAGAGTATAAAATATGGTGTAGCTCCAACACAAGTAAATGCCTACAGTTTATCACTGGGTTAGTGGTACCGGTGAGAGAGTGGATGGTGTTTCCATTTCTAAAGGGTTGACTGGTTGCACTAGCTTCTGTCCAGATTTTGGTGGTTTTGGAGATGATTCGGGTGGAGAGGTCACAGTGCTGTAGGCCGGTGGAACCAATGACATCTGTCTCTGAAGAACCTGCATAATGGCTCCAATGTCTGTGGACATACGTGACTCCAATCTGGGGAGGCACAACATAGAAGACTCAAGTCTACACATAGCTGACATACAGCTGACATTTAATGAGGCACAAGGCTGAGGAGTCATATCAATATGCAATGAATTAGATAATGTTACGTAAACATTTAAAAAAGCACTAATACATATTGAAAACATTTTGTAATGGTTATAAAATTATATCATGATTTTAAGAATTATAATATAACAATTACAAAACCAAAACTCTCCCTCAGACATGGTTTTCCCAAACTAGCAAATTATCAAATACTGATTCCATATTGTGCCTGCAGCAGTAGATTATTTACTTCTATTGTGACTTTTTAAAAAGAGGGTAGTTGTGCATGATTATCAGAAGTATTAACATTTAATTTTGTATCATTAGGTTTTATACCCCAGGTATATCATTAAAACCAGTAAATCTTCCATGCCTAATATTACCTGTTAAGCTGTTTCTGCAGCAGTTCCAGTCTGTTTTCCACCTCGCTGTGTTGACGGGGGGTTATATTGTGCAAGAAAGAGCTGGGTGGGGGTGAGGGAGGAGGACAGGACATGCTGTGGCTGGGCACCTCCCGGTACTGATGCCCTTGACTTTCTCCCCAGAAACTGAAGATGTTAGAAACCCCTGAAAAAGTTCCTGATTGAAAAAAAGAGTGTTAAAGTCTGTTTTCAATGTCATGTTTAACAAGGACACAAGCCTGGTCCATGATTGTGCTAAAATATGTTCTTTTTGTGAGCTTTGTGCACTATGTACTTAGACGAACATAATGCCAGTAAAATGAATAAGAAGCCACCGGTTACTACTACACTGGTTCTTTCACGGATCTACCTGAGAGAGTGTTACAGCTGTTTTGCTCTTTTTTATTGCTGATGTTGAAGCTTGGAGTGTGACTCTGGAAGAAGCCCACTAGAGTGGAGGTTTCTCTAGATTCATCCTCATCATCACTGCTGGTGTGCGAGGATGAGGAGTCGGAGTCCTCATGAACTCTTTGTTCCTTGTCGTCTTGCTGCCTGCTCTTCTGGTTCAGAGGCTGAAGAGTCGTTCTCTTGGGTTTGGGTTCTGCCTTTACTATGTTACAGAAAACCAGTGATAAGCAAAACATATCAACATCTAATGATAAAACTGAACATATCTAAACAAGCATTACCCACAAGTATACTGCACTCATGGCTTCACAAACACTGGAAAATGCTTGTTGTCATATGGCAAAAAAGGATGATATAATTTGTCGCTGCTTTAAACCTGTACCTTTCTCATTGTTGCGACAGAAGGACAGCCTTGATCTCTGCAGATGACGGTTCAGGCAGGCCTTGTCCGACTCCTCACTGTTCACCGACCCAGAAATAATACTAACCTGATAGGAGAGACATTTTTTTACATTTTTTAAACAAATGCTTAACAATTTTTTATTTGCTGAAGTTCAGTAGTTGTGTATTTCTATAAGTAGACATGTACATCTCTGAGGTTGAAGGTGATCTCCAGATTGCTCCAGAAGTAATCAGAGAACTCCGGGTACATGTCCAGCACTTCCAGCACATCCTCTCTGTGGATCTTGTGCAGGTCACAGTAGGTTAGTGCTCGCACATCAGCGCTGGACTTCCCAGGACGTGCAAACAAGTTAATGGGTTCCCCAAATATATCATTTTTTCCTGCAGAATCATATCAGACAAGCAGTACAGTAAATCTTTTGATTAACTTATCAGCTTTGAATACTTATAGACTAATGCAGATGTATACACTAATGCAATGAGAGAGTGATGGCAAAGTTATCTCTGTGGTAGGCACCTCTAAAGAATAGGCAAAGACAAGAAATAAGGAGCAAATGAACAGATTATAAAGTAGGTACATTACAACAACTGATGTCTTACTGTGGCTGAAGATCATTCAGTAAAAAAGAAAACGCTGATAGCTGGCAAAGATGCTCAGAATAAAAGTGCACAGTGACGTCCACAAGAGGGCACTCCTTTCAAGACTTCAGACTTCAAAGTGCTGTATATAAACTGCCCTCAGGCGAAAGGTTGGGGATGTCTAGATTTTTTCAATTCTTTTTAATTAAATGAATTTCTTTGTCGGTTTGCAGTAACTTGATCGAAAGCTATTTCTGTCTTGCCATTTTTGTAGACAAAAACTGCAAATCTGACGGAACAACTGACAAAAATACTACATTTAGAATATTGCTACATGGTTATTCAAAGGTTCTTTGGTAAAGACAATGTTCTATATAGAACCATCAACAATCAAAGAACCATTTGCATGCTTAAAAGGTTCTTTACACCATGAAAAGGGTTCTATATAGCACCAATGTCAAGCTTGCAACAATAGATGAGTCTTTTTGGTGCTATATAAAACCATTTTCAAAACCATTTTATAAAGAACCATATTCAACACACTCTCCATCAATCTGAAGAACCTTTTAAGCATGCAAATGGTTCTTTGAGTGCTCATGGTTCTATATGGAACATTGAGTGTTCATGGTTCTAAATAGACCCATTCTCTTTACTAAAGAACCCTTGAAGAACCATCGTTTTAAAGAAGGTACTGCCCTTGTCTTGATGTCAGGTTTTTAAAAAGCCTTTCAGCATGTGCTTTTAACAATAGTCTGGAGAAGAAAACTGCCTTTATTCAGGCTAAACCTACTCTTCATACTGAGGAAGGCACACTAATGAAAGGCTCTGAGTGCAGAAGCATTCGAGAGAATCTAAAACTGCCTAATGGAAGCCTTACCCAAGATGGCTACTACCACATCTCCCCTCAGGATTTCGATGGACCCTCGGGAGATGAAGTAAAGGGCTGAAATGACATCGCCTGCGTGGACTAAAGTGTCTCCGGGTGGGGCATGAGTTGTCTTGAACTTCATAGCTAGGGCGCGTAAGCAGCCTTTGGTGGAGCCTTTGAAGGCTTTGCAGTTTTGCAGTAGAGCCCGGTTCAGGTGCAGACAGATGTCTGCCTGCAAGCATTCAGGGAAGCCCTTAAGAACCTGCACAGAGAAGAAGTGAACAGTGAACAGGTTATCTAATGGCTGCACATTCCTAGCTCCATTATGCGCTGTTCACTGGTTGTGAGAAGCAAATGTCCTTGCTAGTATGGTAAAATATAATAAAACAGTGCAGTAACAGGTCCATAGTTAAAGTATAATATTAAAGGTGTGTGCGAACTGAAGCAAAGCAATGTCTACCCAGTATACTCAGAATATATGCTTGAAAATGGGACTCACAGCATTCATGTCAATACCGTTGGTGTAGGACCAGGCATGTTGGAAATACTCCTCTAGTCTCTGCCTGAGTGGATTAGGGATCTGATGGAAGCGAATGAACTCTCGCACTCGGAGCATCTGGGTGTGGTAGCGAGCAGTTCCAGAGTAAAGTCTCTGGATAATAGCCGATACATTTCCAAAAATACTGGCGTACATCAGTGCTGTACAAAGACAAAAGACTGGGTTTGCATTTTGCCAGTGCAAAAGCTGCTGTTATTTCACAACTAATAAGCAAACCTTTATTCACCCAGTGATAACTCTTAAGAAAAATTCTAGCGTGGTTTCTTAGAAATATATAAAGCTTTTAAAATTGTACCTGATGGTTAGAACAAACCTGAGAGAGGCCTGTGTGCCACAGCTCATTGATGATCTGTTGATTTCTAACCACATGCTCTCACATGACCAAATCTCTGAAAGTTACTGAATTCCCTTGTGGTCTCAATAATTTCAAACTACAAACTGAAACTTTCACGTCTATACATATCTTATTTTCTGTTTTTCTCTGTAGGCAGAATGTACTGTGGTCATTTAAGACAAAATCATATAGAGAATCTCCATAACTCAAAAATAAGGATGGTTATAAAGAAATATACTAAGATTTAGTTGTATTTGAATGAATATAGAAGAATATTTGAATACTAACCACCAATGAGCATAACGCAGATGGAGAAGATCTTCTCAGAGTTGGTGTTTGGGGAGACATTTCCAAAACCCACACTAGTCAGGCTGCTGAAGGTGAAGTAAAGAGCAGTGACATACTTGTCTTTTGTTGATGGTCCTGAACCTGGAATGGTCTCATTATAGGGCTTGCCAAGCTGTTCACCCAGAGAGTCTAGCCAGCCAATTCGAGATGAGCCACTTCTCTCCACGTTTCCTATCGCATACCAGATGCAAGCCAGCCAGTGAGCAATCAGAGCAAAGGTGCACATGAGCAGGAAGAGAACTGCTGCCCCGTACTCTGAGTACCGGTCCAGTTTACGCGCCACACGCACCAGTCGCAGTAGCCGAGCAGTCTTCAGCAGACCAATCAGAGTTGTTGTCTGGTAATGCAAGATAAATAGGTCTTTTGAAGTAGGTGCAAAAATGTGAAGAGAATAATGACACTGTATACTGTGCCAGGCAACAGTTTTAACACACACACCTATTTATACAATTTATAGAAATGATATTTGTCTTAGAAACAAATTTCAAAAATGTAAGCATCAGCCTTTAAATCAAAATTCAAATTCAATGCATTCAATCAGGTGTGCCCAACATTTAACTGGTACTGTACAATTATAACCAAAGAGTGTCCTCACCTCCTCCCCAGACCGGTAGATAAGCAAGTCGAATGGAATTGCAGCCACCAAGTCAATGAGAAACCAGCCTTTAAAGTAGTGGACAGCAATGCGGCCAGGTTGACTGACCACCTCATCATTGGTATTGACGTATGTTGTGCGAAAGTTAATGACAATATCAACAACAAACATGATGTCCACAATGAGATCCACCACATTGAGAGGACTGCAGGAGTAGCCACAGCGCTGCATGGCAGCCTCCTCCTCATCACTGAGCAAGAAGGACGCTGAGTAGGGTGTGAAGATGGCCGTGTAGATGACCAGCAGCAGAATGACCCAGTCCCACACAGCCTTGAAGGGACTATAGTGCAGTATGGTCCATTTGTGGATGCGGGGAGCCTGGAGCTTGTACTCAGGAAGGACGTCATCACCCAGAGAAAGTACCTGAAGCGGGACATATACAATTCCAAAATGATTAGCTTTGATCTTTAAATAACAGGATTACTTTGATGTGCTGGACCCTTCGAGAAGGATCAATGTGCTTTTGGGCTTTACAGGTTTTCCTTCCAAATGCAACTCATATCACTTTCACTAAAGTCAATGCAAACAGAATCTGGAGCAGCAGTGACTCCAAATTATCATAAGCATTTTTGCTGGCATCGATTGTAAGAGGAGAAAACAGGAGGGACGAATTCATTAGCCACCAGACGTGCTGGAAGGCAAAGATGCTACATGCTAAATGCTAAATTTGTTGTACTTTCAAACATTTTTCTGGGTATATGGAAGATTTCCACAGCTGTAGATAAAAACTCCCAAACAGCCAACACTGAACTCAGCTGCTACCTTCCAATAACAGATTGCAATAACAACACAGAGTTATATAACAACATGAATTTATATAATAACCGTCTCTGAGAAAGAAATGCCTACAGTCCTCACCCCTCAACTAATACCAACCATATATAGACAATCATCATTACTTATTTATATGTTTGTTTGTTTTTAACTCGCACCCATCACCTCTCCTTTTCTTTTTGTTTTCTCTCTATATTTATTCCTCCAGAAGAGTTTGACTATTAGGCTAGAACAAAATGCGGCTATGAACTAAGGCCTCAGAGATCTACATCTCTTACTCAGTCATCAGCAAATCATTTATTTACTGTGAGCAGGAGGGAGGTTCCACTGTTTTCTTACACTTTTACATAGCATATTCTACTTGGTTTCCAAAGAAGTGGACAAGGCCTACCTGTGGGCAACCTGATGCATCAGCAGATATTATTTGTGGCAGTGCTAGTATAACTTGTTTGTCCTCACTGGGTATCTACCATTGGATGGATGCTCATCATGTACTTGCCCATGCATCACAAACAACAGGGTGCAGGAAATACTTAAAAAGTAAAGGGGACTTTTACAAAAGTAATCCCTACATTTCCAAATGTGATTCCTGAGGAATCTGCCAGTTTAATTTTCCACTATAGTCTTCATAAAAATATTATCTTTAATAGAAGCAAAGTTCTTCATCTTCTTCTTAACCATTGCTCCACCTGTTTTTCCCCGTTTTTGTATTCTAATATTTTATACTAATTCTGTTTGCTATCTGGTGTAGACCAGAGGAGGATGGGCTCCCCTTTTGAGTCTTGGTTCCTCTCAAGGTTTCTTCCTCTTGCTCTTAGGGAGTTTTACCTTGCCACTGTCGCCATTGGCTTGCTCATGGGGGCTTGGACCCGGATTTTTCTGTAAAGCTGATTTGTGACAACAAATGTAATGTTGTAAAAAGCGCTATATAAATAAACTTTGACTTTGACTTCCACTCGACAACACACAGGGGTCAGAGGAAAATGGAGAAAGAAGTTGACTAAAGACCTGAGAATAGTTACAGATAACTAAGAGTAAGTTTATGTTGTTCGTGAGACATCATCTGCTAGGTCAAGCGCAGCAAGTTTCCACTCTCTCTGAACATGAGCTAATATAAACTCTGAGACAGAAAGTGCTGGTTTCTCGGACATTGATTAAGCCTAATCGTGGCCTACATTGCTGTGTCAATTGAGAATTACCATTGAAAATTCTTTTTAGTCTAGGTTTAGGCTTAATCTGGGTCTGGAAACTGTCCTAAAACACTTGGATCACTGAAAAAAACACATGTAAAAAATAAGTTTCCACAAAGTCAGTTTTTTTGGTTACAGGAGGTGAGGTGTGTCACATCCTTTGACTTAAAAGGTTTCCTGATTTGAGGTAGCCAAAGATGCTCAAGATGAACCACAGATTCTAATTCATTTAACCTAATCTAATATTTCTCTTACTCATTATCCTCTAATTAGGAAGATGAAATGTATCCGCCCAGACCAGAAAAGGAACAGGGAAACAAAAACAGACACTCACTTATGTTAATTCATTTATGCCTACACTGTGCACTATTTCAGGATGATCACAAGCATTAATCCTTCAAATTAATTTAAACATCTAATCCCGCAGCTCACGAACATCTAATGCAAGATACAACAGCTCATAAAAATGAAAACAGCATTTGCTTGCGTATTATATTAAGATCTAAGTGAACTGATACCAAATTTCAATTTACACCTTTGTTATTTGCTCTCCTGGATTAGGAATCTTCATGTCCAAAAGCAGGTGCTCTGAGAGCCTGAGAGTATAAAAGTAATGAAGTTACAGAGAGGTAGTATTGGATTAGAGTAGCCTGTGGCATTTGTGTTGTTTTATATGCTGAAAACAGTTGTAATTAATTTTACATGACCGTTTTCCAACCACTCTATTCCTTACAATTAAACGGGCTGTTAACTTTACTTTACTTACAGCCAGGAAGTAAAACCTATTGCAACTTGTTTTGTTTTCAAATTGGTAAAATTTCACTTCATGAAGAATTATATATTACTAGCTTATTACTGTAAAAGTGGAACAGGGCAGAAGTTTTTTGAGGTTTGAACTGATGTAAAATATTGCTTTTGTTCATCTAACATATCCTCCTAAGACCCAAGCCTCACTGTTTAGTGCATTTTTAATTTCTCCTTGCTTTTTGTAACAAGTAGCACATGCTAACTATGTAAAATGAACAACATCCATAAACACAGACTAATGTGTGAAAAAATGATGTCCTCATATGACGACAGTCAGCTTATTTAAAATTGCTTGGAAATAAAAAGAAAGTAACTAGTGTGGTACAAAAAACAAGGGTAACACTTTATTTGGATGGTCCACTGTAGATGCTTTGTAGATGTTCAGTACATCTTCAAGTAACATTCAGCTAAATAAAATGAAATGCAACTGAACTTTCAAGTTGAGCGGGGAAGATTCTAACCTAACCCTAACCTCAAGGCAAAACTTACACCTGCTCCTAATCCTAACCCTAACCATAATGCTTGCAATAATCAACTGAGTATCATCAGAAAGTTTGTTAATGATTTAAGTATCTGTAGATCATCTATAGGGGACCATCCAAATAAAGTATGACCAAAACTATTTGCAGGTTGTTTCCTGCAGATACGAATTGTGCAATTTAAATGAATGAGCAACAACAACAAAAAAACAGTGTACTACCTTTTTGTATCTATATTTGTGTTGGTTAAGAATGCGTTAGAATGCCTGTGTTTGTTCTGAATAATGAAGCTTATTCATATATGTTTAAATTTCTACAGAATACAGAGCCCACTATACAAGCACATTTACAATAATTTAATGTAGTTGTTATTTAAGCAATAGAACACAAGTGGGAGTATGTTATCACGAAATAACATCACAGCTAATTTGATTGCAGGCACGAGCCGAAGGCAAGTGCCGTAGATCATCACAGCTGCGATGTTATTCGCGATAACACACAACCTCGAGTATTTTATTGTTTTTGTACAACAGTTCAATAAATAAAGTAAGAAATTAACAAATGGGGCCGTGAACGTGGCATTTAATATGTTTTAATGTTAACAATTCCTTCCGACAAATTATAGTTCCTTAACAAGCAGCTTGTTGCTACGTCAGAGTAACGAACTCCGCTCACTCGCTGCACAGTCTGCTGTAAGCTTCGCCTTTTGAAGTACGGACTGAGCCATAAAACTGCCGCAATATCAAGTTTAGCTCAGTGTCGTCAATTTTTGCTAGATCGGTATTAATGTTGCTTTGTTCCAGCCAGTCTGTAAAGCATCTTACTGCCCATTTTGTTTGGCGAATGGTATTCAGTTCATTTCTGGCTAATTCCAGGTTGTTTAGGTGTTCTTCTGTCATAGCTGCCGACTAAAAAGCTTGCTCAGCGGTAATGACAGTTTGGGAATTTAGTGTGGTCTGACCAAATCGGCTGTAGGTCAAATGTAATCTTAATTAAGTATCCATTGTAATGTAATACTTAAGTATCCATTTTCTGTTTGTGTGCAAAGTAAGAAGTAAAAACGTTCAAATGGTTTGAGCATCTCCTACAGCTGACAAAGTCGTTGCTTAGCAACGGCGTCTCAGCAGAGTGACTGTGCTGTTATTTCGCCATAATGCTTAGAACGCTTCTCAACCAATCATCTTGCGTGCCCGCAACTAACTGTTGTATAATGTTCTATACTTTTCTTGTTGGTATAAAAAAAGTCTGTTTTTTGAAAGTTGCGTTCACTTTACAAGCACTGAAAAACATCACATTTCATACTACATATGTGCAGTGTAAAAATTAATTTAGAGGAAAATGATAAAAACTAAATTCAAATTATGTGGTATATTATCTTACTATTGCTTTGCTAGGCTATGTATGAACTTTACAGAAACACTGTCCCTTTTACCTCATGTTTAATGCCATGTTGGCCTGTAAATGTCATTTAAATGCATCAAATTACCACAAATTACCACAATTTACTAACTGTAAACAGACTAATTTCAATGGCAGAACGGTTTCTATGTGTTTCTCCTGACATGTTGAGATGGGTGCCACCTTTTGTAAACACCATATCACATCTTGTACTACTGATACCACCAGACAACAGCAGCAACATCTCTGAACGCTACTTGTAAATTGATACAATAATGCAAAATGAGATGTCCTCTTATGAGTCTCTTTAGAAGGCTATTTATTATTGCTCTGCATTATTTCGTATTAATTTGAGTTAAATAAATCCATTTAAACTGCTTGTTACCACATTGTTGAACTGACAAATTTTTTTTTCCAGTGATGTTTAAACATGTGTAAAACCCCAACAGTTGATATTTGCTCTACTCAGATTTGCTGCTGACCTGTTCTAGCTCAATGGGCCAATTATCCCTCAGCTTATCAATACAAACAAACAAACAAACAAACAAAAGCAAAACAAAAAACATTCTCTGTTATATTGGAGATTGGACATGCTTGATGTCCGTCATCTCAAAAATCCTAAACATTTTTCTTCTAGTGAATTAGACCTGAGCTTTGAGTACTAACAGCACTCTAAAGTTAATTAGTAAAGAGCACACAGACTGCAGTCTCTGAT